ACTTAAAGCAATTACCAATGTTGAGTTAGTTACTTTAAAAAAAGTAATAAGTTGCTTTACTCGTTACTCATTACATAAATGTAATGAAATCACATACTCGTATTACGTTACACGAATAAAATTGTAATGAAATTACTTCACCATATTAAAGAAATAACTTATTTAAAATAAATTACATTATTACATTGTCGTTACAGAATAAACATTTTAATAACATTACGTAATGCTTTACTGTAAATGTAATGGTGTTACAGTAACGCGTAACTATTTTCCATTATGTCACTACCCAACACTGACGATTACCGTTAAGAGTTGTAGTTGCTGCATTCGATAATTTAAATTTAGGTATTACCGATGTTATGTTTTATCCATATTAATTTTTCTAGATAAATTATCTAGATTGATATATTTTTATCTTATATCTTCTTTATAAAAATCGTAAATAAGTTGTTTGAGCCGTTATCTAAAACTTTATTCAAAACAGAGTGAGGAATGTATACATTTTACAATGTATTATATAAAACATTGTAAAACACTTAAACTTCTTGTTTTAGGACATGGTTATAATTGATTTGTTAAGAATAATAAGTTATAGAAATTAGTATAAATTAGTTATATATTTAGTTTTGAGTATATATTATAAATGACTAGTTGATGAATTTTGAATATGATTTAATTTACAAGTTATATCTTGATTATCAACATACAAAAACTATTGTCTTATTATTATATATACCAGGATCCAGAGGAGCAAATCTAAGAGAACAGAGAAGGGAGAAATTAAGACTAATTATACACTCGATGATCTATTTTTAGATATAACATTAATTAACATCAATAAACTTATATTACGAAATTTATAATATACGAACAGAGAACAATTTTTTTTATCATATTTGGATACAGTGTAACAAGGGTATGGCGAACTGTGCCTACCGCCACTGTGCAAAAGTCGTATTTTTATCCTACAGTTAAATCGACATTTTTCCATTATACTTTTTGAAATACGTAGATGTTGTCTATTAGAACACAATACATGTGAATTTAATAATGAAATTATGAAAATAGGGTATTTAAATAAAAAATTTCATATGAAGAAATTATCGATAAATTTGCCAGTCATAAAACGAGAAAAGTAAATTTTCAAAGTTTAAAATTAACACTGTAATAATAACTTACAATAAAAATTGTATACTTAAAAATATTAGTAAAATTAAAGGTTAAAAAAAATATCATGACATCAAATTTTAATTGGTTAGAAAGGTAACTTTTTCTAAGTTTGCCAGGGGCGATAGTCAGTCTTCCTACACCACTCGTTGGATATTGAATACTTTTTTTTTACCCTCCTATCCCCATAATTCCAACTAGTTTGTGTCTGTGGCAAGATCTAAATCTTTATTTTTTTAATCGACATTATAAAATTCAATTCTTAAAAAAAAATATTTGACAGCAAATATAAGACATTTGAAAAAAATGGTAAACATTGTTTCCAATAACTAATAAGCAATTCAAAAGTTAAAAACGATTTAAACATATTATTAGGTATAATATTAAACATTTTATTCAAAGTCAAAGCTTAGATTTCAATTTTTTTCTATAGAATAAATATATTAGAATATTAGAAAATAGAACTACATTTTTAGTGTGCAATGCACTTGGCATCCCTGCACAATAATAATATCACAAACTATGTTTTTAAAAATACGATGTGTTATACACCAAAAATGACCATCCCGACAAAAATTTTATTTTATGAGAATACTAAAAACCTTTAAATTTTTCTGTCTTAATTTATATCGTGTGTATTGTTTTTTCTCCATTATGTAATATGATATGTTTAATAAGGGCATGTTCTTCATCTGCCTCTTGTAATAGAAGTAAATTTAATATTAATTTTTGCTTTTTAGTGAGAAATGACATATTAAAAATTCTCTTCGTCGTATTCCACTATCTGATATATGTTGAAAAATGATAGAAAATATAAAATACAATTCTAAAACGAGAATTATATAATACAATTAAGACGCACCGCAAAGCCGTGGATTCCCAATCGCCAACATATGCAAGGCCGTAACTGGGGGAGTCCAGGGGTCCCCCCCCCCCGAAATTTCAAAAATAGAAAAATTTTAGCGGTGAATATAGTTTAACTATAAATTGTATTAAATAATAATGTTAGACCCCTCTCCCGAAATTTTTTTCCAGTTACAGCCTTGAAAATAGGAATCTATATTCGGCCGCGCGACCAAAAAACCGACCACGTGGCTGAAATTTAAATTGCAACATGTAGTTGCGGGTCTCCAGACGCATCCATAGGAATCACACCTTTAGAATTTTAAATATAATTAGTTGTAGAGTACAAGTGTTTGGACTTATTCCATATTATCTCGCAGATTATATAATTATAATTTGTGATATTATATACCTATATCTAAAATATCGAATTGTAATACCTACCATTGATTTTACAATATCTATTATACGATCAATGGTAATACTATTACATTTCAATGTTAATATCATAATTCAAAACCTTAATTCAATAAAATTATTAAGGCAAAAATTATTAATTATGAAAATGAAATAAAATGTTTAATTATAATATCATCACATAGATACATAGAACAACTCAAGTAAATTGATAATTTGATTTTTCCAGTTAGTATAGATGTTGACATTGTTAACTCCATTATCACAAATAAACATACAAACCTACCTGTTGCTAGGAATTAAACATATACGATATTTAATTTTTTTTGGGGTATTTTTCAAATTTCAATTTGAATTATTTTTTATTGTTAAAATAACCAACCAATTCTATAAATAGAGCTAATATTCATTTGTCAACGTCAACGTCCATTCAACCATTCGAGAAATTTTAATATATATATTTATATACATATCTCTTCTTCTTTTTCTTCTCTTTTGCCTTTCTCCCAACTATTTGGGGCCTGCCACCCTTGTCCTAAACCTCCAGTTGTCTCAATTTTCTACATCCCCTACGCACATATCGTTCTCAATCATATCCAATTTTTTGGTCTTCCTCTTCATCTTTTCCCTTCAACAATCACTTTCATAGCAACTCTTTATATAACTCTTTCCATAGCAACTGTATTTGTTTCCTCTCATCTCATCACATGCTCAAACCATCTCAGTCTATTTCCTCTCATCTTGTCCACATGACCATCATATTCCTGATTATCTAACTGTAAAACAATAAAAAAAAAATTCTACACATTATTAAAAACAATCATCATGTTTAATTTGTAATAAGTACAACTTTATTAATTAAAATATTATAAAATTAATCAATCCTATAAATAATTGAAATAAATAATATATTGGTCTTAATTTTTAATTTAATTTAATTACTACATCCTACTTCAAGCAATAATGTTATAGTTACACAATTAAATCAGAGTCATTCATATTTTATGAAAAAAAATATATATATTTATTAAAAATTTAAGGTATTAAAATTTAAATATCAACCTTTTGAACAGATATAATCAATTTACATTTTATTTATGTATGTTTAAGCAAACATTATGAATATGGAATTTGCCATTATGTAATATAGAATCATCCTCTTACGTACAAACTAATACCTAGTATAATTTTCTTAATCTATAGTAAAATAATTATATATAATAAAAATTCCACTAGTTGATATTCAATATTAAAATAAATATTGAATATTTGTTAGCTCAATGCTGGGCAGTGAAAATTGCTCAATTTTAATAAATTAATTCAGTTGCAATCACTCAACTACTATCTTAATTTTATTAAAAAACTACACTAAAATAATTCAATCAAAATTAAACAACTTTTGAACATTATTACTTTATTAAGAAAAAATTTAAAAGGTGGAAGTTACTGCGATTTTTAATTTTTAACCTTTGTCATAAAATAATCAAACCTATTGCCTTTGACAATTAAAAACCAGCTAAATATTATAACATATGCATTTTCTCTTTAAAAAAATTAAAAAATAGAGAATAAATTATTTAAAAAAAACCCAAAATCTTATGAGATTACTAATTTCTAAGGTGTTGTAACATTCTGTCACCTGAAGCGCAGTTTAATGGTATTTTCAGGTGGCAGATATTTTGCTAATTTTATTTTTTTTAAAAAGAAAAGTATTGGAACATTGAAATGGCTGGGGTAGATTTGTTCTAATTATATAAAAAAAATAATTATCTCATGATTAATTTATTATTAAGTACACACAGAATAAACCAAAAAAATTCTTCAATTAACAGAATTTATAAATTATTATCTGTTAAATAATAGTTATCAGTCTATGAATTTAGCATAATTGTAATGGTTGAAAATTAAATGTATACAAACATTGTTTATACTAAAATATAAACATAATATTAAATATTTAAAACAAATGATAAACCAAAACAAATTATAAGTAATTAATATTATAAGTCTATTATAAGACTAGCAAAAAATATTTACATGGCAAATAGAATAAAAAGTAATTTAATAAAAGCTAGATTTTTTAATATTAAAAATTATTCATAAATATAACTTAATACATTTAAATTGAAAAAAATATAATTTGAATACTACCTAATCTACAATTAACTAAGCTTTAAACATTTGTTTTTAAAGAAATGATATGAAAGTTTATTTACCTGTTCACAATAAAAATAATTTAAATATATATTATTATCACTGAAATACAAATATATAAAACTTTTTAACAGCAACATTTGATTTAACTAATTTAAAAATATTTTTTTTAGATTTTTATGAAATTGTCAATTGAATACTTTCATAAAAATATTTAACTGGCATTCACATATTTGATTTTTTTTTTTTTTAACTTAAATGTTTAATAATAAATAATAAATAATTGTATGTTTAGATAACCCTGATTTAAAATTTGATACACCTTACTATTAATTGAGATTAAATAATTGTAAAAAAGTAAAATTTTAATATTATTTCAAACAAATAAAAACCGTATATTTGAATAATAAAAAAAATTGGTTAACCAAATTTAAAAATTCATCAATATCCAAAATAAAATTAGGAATGATAAAAATCAAATTATCCTTATCTGATGATATATAGTAAATTGTTCACAGAACTTACTATGTAAAGATATTTAAGCTATAAATAGACATATTAATTTAAATAAAAAAAATTAAATGCTTTCGTAAGCAGATGCCATCATAGATGTACCACATAACTTATCCTAGAAAATAAACATTTATAATTAGCAGTAAAAAAATGATAAAATCAAAAATATATACAAACCTTGATGGTATTATACAGTGAAGACCAAAACGTGTGGTGTGGTATCATATTTATTCCGATTTCATTAAATAAGCAAGCATTCATTACAGATCCACCAATGAAATAAAGAAATAGAACAACCAAAACAAATGAAAAAAAGTAAGTCATAGAATCTGAGGGGTTGTTTTCAATTGCATCTTTTAAATTCAATCCACATACCTTACTGGTTTTAAGAATAACTTTCTATAAGTATAAATAATATATTTTAATAGTTGGATAATCTTTAGAGGTTTAGAATAGTAATTTTAAATCTCTGCCTATCATACCAAAAATATAGGAATTTAGACATTATTTTTCTCACATACTAATTTGTCTATTTAGTTAAATAATAAGAATTTTTAAAACAAAATTAAATTTTTAAATTAATGAACTTGAAATTAACATTCCCAATTTTTGAATGATTTCTAAACAAATTCATAAAAAAAATTTAAATGTCTATAGAACAAAAGGCAAAAAAATTGAAAATGAGGAAAACAAATCTTAAATAGATACTGAAAAAAATTCTTTGTGTTCAAAATATTTATTACATTGCTAAATTAAATAATATACCGGAAACAAAAAATATAAATCCCCATGTTATGCATGTGATATGATAGAAATCAAAAATCACCTTTAAACCTTATCCATCAAAGACATTACTAACTTTTTATATTTAACTTACATAATGGTTAGTGTAATTTTGGAAGCTAGTTAGGATTTCATTTCCACTTACAGCTGAAGGATCACATGATAAAATTACATCAAATTCACTACAAATTGAATAAAGAAAAAAATATTACAGGCAAGTTAAACTATTGAATAAACATTTTAACAATAAAATAATTATCAATAGATAATCTTACTTGGTTTCATTAGTATAAATCAATGATACTGTATCGCTAATTTCAAATCTAACATCTTCATAATAAGCAAGCGAGATAGTATTATTATTTGTAGAATCTATTAATTCAATCTAAAAATTAATATTTTAAATACATAAATATAATTATGTAATAAAAAAATATTAGTATAAAAATAGTCTTAAATTCCAAAACTTGAAATGTATTTGTCAATTTAATTTTTTATTTTAGTTTATCATTTTATAACTTGCTAACATTTTAACAAGAACCTCAAAATATATAACTATACTACCAATGAATAACATTAAAGGATTTATACTTCCCTTTTTGAAGTTTTTCGACTTTATTAATGTTTATAATATAGAAGAAATAAATGATTTCAATATTCTAGAAAAAAAAGCCACCAAGTTTTATTCTAACTGAAATTTTTGAAAGAAACACCACCACAACTCTTTAATATATTTTATATAGTTCAGTGACAATCATTGTTTTACTGATCCAAAAATGTACATAAATGTATCTTTATGAATAATTATTATGATATATTAAAATGAATTACTCTAAAATATTTATGATGAATTGAAACGAGTAGAAGTTAAAGAAAAAGGTGGTTGACCATAAATATTTGGAAGAAAGGTGAGGGAGAAGAAGATGTATAATTGGATATAAAGTAAAAATTAAAGAATTTTCTTCAAGTCAAAATCATGAATGCATTAGAAATTAAATTATGGTAAAAGTAATAAATAAAAATTACTAATATTATTTCAACAAACATATAATGAAAATTCAACATATTGTGGTAAATAGTGTATAATAACTATAGACTGATAGGTAATACCATTTTAAATTTATGTTTAAAAATTTAAACAAGAATCTAGATTACATAAACCTTAAATATTTATGTGCAAAATTTTAAATTTTAATTGCTATGATTTTTTACCCTAAACACTTTCCTAACAACCAAACAAAATAATTACATCAGATATTACTTACGGCAACTGTGCTCTGGTTAAGTTCATTGGGACACGGTTGATAATTTAAAGTCAAATTTGTACCAACGCTTACAGATATATTGATACCAGCCAAGTCAATATTATTATTGTCAACACTCACACACACACATGGTGAAGACATTTGACAATAATATTCATCTTTCTTCATACATACCACAGTTGTTACACATATTGCCAAAAAAAATCCATGAATCAATAACTTATTGAAATACATTTTAAATATTAAATTTCAAACGTAAAATGTATACAAACAATATTGACTAATTTTAATTTAATGATAATAGTCAATATATTATGTAACAATAATACCAAGTACAATCAATACTATCGTACGTTGTTGCACAAAAAAACGTAGAAAGAGACTAATTCACGAATTCAAATTCATGATCACAGCATTATGCATTATTAGTGCCACAGATATCTTAAACAGATTTATGGTACATCTGTGATTACTCCTCGGTATCACGCATAGCACTCGTTATTATCACTCAATAAATTATTCATTCTGTGATATCCACCGCGCTCTTAGAAGATAAGGTCCGACAACTTCCCTTCATCACGCCGGATAAGTATATTGTGTCCGCTTAAAAAGGTGAAAACATTTCCAATTTTGACCACCTTAAAGCACAGAGTAATAAAAATAATTCTTATATTCTTATTACTATTTGTCTTATAGTAGAGCGCTGATGGTTAAACGTTTTTGAGGTTAGGAAATAAATATTGAATATAAAAAATACCGCTAAATTTTGTGTGAAAAATGAAATACATATCATCATAGATTAAATAATAATAAATTGTGTATTTAATCTATGGTATTATGTACATGAATACTTATACAAATATATACATATATTATGTAACATGTAAAATACTCTATATAGAAATGAAAGTAAATGCATCAACATTGCATATTCACTATTATTTTTCGCCTGGTTTCTTTATTTCCCATGTATTAATTTTGTTTTCCCATCAGTCAGTGTTTCCTTATGAAATTATAATCCTCAATAACAATACTAATACTCCATGATTCATCTTTATCACAATGCCAAACAAAATTTATGATCTTGGTTGTAATAAACTAAAAAAAACGTTGTTTTTAGCACACCTAAGGATGAAATTTTAAAAATGAATGGTGAAAAGCCATGGCTGTAGATAATTTTGATTCAAATCACATAATTTGTAAAGAACATTTCACAGTAACCCAAATAAAAAAAAAAAAGTTATTACTCATGATTTAGGAAATGTCTTATATTCAATCAGTAGGTACATAAATATTCTTCGATAAATTTAATCAATTGTTAGATATTTAATAAAATAATAATCAATGGTATAACAAGAACTCAAAACTTTATTATTTCATTGTATAGGTAAATATTTTAATGTTTTAAGACACTATATATTGTAAATTTATGTTTTATATGCATTTTAATAATGGTGCGTTTATTATAATTTATATGATGTATAGAGTCAATTGTTAGCCTAATTCGCAGCCAAATGCTGTACCATTAATAAAAGAATACATTTTCTAATAAAGATTTTGTTAAAGTAAATTAATTCGAAAACAATAACTATTTCAATAATAATTTATAACACAATTATTTTACATAAGTTCCTCACGAAGTATATACAAATTATTTTGTAAAAACACTGAAGAACTTTAATAGCAAGGTTCTTATATATAATTAGAACAAAACATATTTTTATTTTCTGGCAGTGATTCAACTATAGTTTTAAATTAATAAACATTCTAAGTGATAATATTGATATCGAAAATACAATCATACCCAATTTCAACATAACAAAATAATAACAGAAAAAAAATAGGAATTTAGTAATGTAGTTGAACATAGTTATCTAAAAGCTAAAATTAAGATTGTTTAATTTATTTTTTAACTAGTACATACAATTTTTAATTTATAAATTAATATTAACTTTTTAAAAAATAATACATTTTAAAATTCTTTATAAGCTATTTGTCAAAACAGTAGCTGAAATAAATTAATGATTATGTTAACTGTATATCAAGTATATGCACAACAGTTTTCTGCAACTTTAATGAACAACAAAATTTATAGATTGATTCCTCCTAACATGGTTTTCTTTAATTTCATAAAAAAATTATGTTTTTAAGTTAGTTGTAACAAACTTAATAATTAAAAAAAAATTACTTTTCCTTGCACCGTTCATGGTGTAAATTTAATTTAATTTGCAGTAATGTATTATGATAGAATGTGGATATAACAATTTTCATTTCAAGAAAATTAAAAATTAGAAAATAAAAAAATTTAACCAAATTTAAAATTTAATTCAATTAGTACCTATCTCCAGGTATTTTAACTACCATATTTTTAAATAATTTATTTACATTTTTATATTATTAAATTATTGCATGCATTTATTATATTATACTATAAATAAATTTTGTAACACTATCTTCTAAGACCGTGTTAAAAGTAGGTAAATACTATTCATGTGGTCTGTGGTCTAAGGCTCTATGGACTTATCGGAACTCATCTTCCAAGACTGTCATATTATCATTTGATAAAATGATAATATATGTTTCACTAGTGTTATCACAACTTAAAAATATTCAAGTGTTGTATAATAAAAAAAATGTACATACAATATTTTTAATTTACAACAAGAGTATTATATTTTTTATAGTATAATAAACTAGTATAAATATGTTAAAATTTAAACTGAAATTCTTACTTTATAGCAAAGAACAAATATAGCTAACCTAATTTACAAATGTTGGGTATTTATTATTTAACATACATTTTATTCACTTTAAGATATCGGACTCCAATCTTTGGGAGATTTGGTCTTGAACATAATTTCAGACATTTTATGATATTTTGGATCATATCCTACTTGATGCGTATTTCCTTCAGCCTGTTAATAATACATTAAAATACTATATTAGTTCATACATAATAGAATACATCATACAAGCAATTTAATTTATTCATATTATTAATAAGAATTAGCTACTTAATTATACTTAGTACAAAGATGTCATTAATTCAACACTTTCAGTCCCACATAAAAAAAGGAGGGGGATCCCTAGGTTAGATAAGATACATTTATGTATAAATGGTATTGGTGTAAAGGTTTTTTGAACTTGAAACCATTGTTATATTTCTCTTAAAAAAATGAATCTAATTGAAAGAGGTTGGGTAAATCAGTTTATCTATCAAAAAGCCAATATCAAGTCCAGTGGCATATCTATAATTTTTTTTTTTTTTGGAAGAGTTAGTTTTTTACATAATATATACTACACAATATCTTGAAAGTAATGGGGACCGCTGAACGCTGTGTCATCGATCAATTAAATAAACATTGAAAAAAATTTTGGGAGAGGGTTATAACCTTCAACCACCCCTGGATACACCATTGATCAGGTCTATTCAATTATATATAATCTAAAATAGATGTAACACTTGACAATTTCTATTATCATACATGTATATAAATAAAAAAAACCTATGCCAATCTAATTCATTTATAAAAAACTACTTTTGTTTTTCATTTTGTCTATTACTATTCTAAATAAAAAGTAAATAAAAAAGTATTGTTTTTTGTGAATAATTATCAATTATATAACAAACACATTTTATGCACTACCATCAATATTTTGACTATTTATCATTTAAGCAATATTAAATAATGGTGTGTTAATACTTAAGTGTATACTGATAATTTCAAAAACCAATTTTATCTTTAATATATGAAAAATTATGATTCTTACATTGAACCAAGCATGTGTAAGGATTTCAACTTCTTCGCCTGGTATATTAAGTTCTGGAGCATCAACAAGAGGAACATTGAAATTAGATAACATATCAAATTTACAATTAGTATACCTATTAACATAAATTAATTAAAACATTAATACATATATTATTTATATAAAATAAGAAATGTTATATAAACTATCTCACTTCATTCGTAAATCAGCCCAATATTGTTCTCTTGAATAACTCCAATCTGCTATCTTAGGATCATTATCATCATAGTTGTCCAAATCCATACGTTCTAAATCTTCAACAATTACCTCTGAATCTCCACCTTCTGACCAATCATAAATCAATACTTCTGAATGTTTACTAGAAATTAAAAAAATTAGAATAAAATACATTTTTTTACAAATGAATTGATTTAATGAAGAGTATTATATTAAAATATATAATACCTCATATCCCTTAAAAATTTGTACTTGAGTTCATGTTCCATAGATTCTAAATACTCAGTGTTCATTGCCTTAGAATTAACCTCATAAGGTAAATTTCTTTTTTTTGCTAGCTCTAAGACTCTAGATACTGGTGCATGTAAATAGATAATTACATGTGGATGCAATAAATCTGGCATTGCGTGTTTGTATAATACATAATATATGTCACGTACAGTTTTGCTAATATACTTGCATTTATACATTGATTCTAAAAATGCAAAATCACTGTATGGACTACGCTCAATAATAACACCATCTCCAGTGTTTAATAAATGTGCAATAGCATCAATATAATGAGCATAGCGTAATTTGAATTTGATTATTTGAAATGCAGCTGCTCCAAAATGATTAGGATTCTCGAGAAAATTACGCTCATCAAAACTACGACAGTTAACTGGTAGCTGAGGGTCAAGTTTACGCATATCATAACCATAATCATTAATATAGTAAGTATCCATTGTAATATCAGGCATGAAATGCATGCCTAATTGATCAGCCAGTTGTTTTCCAATAGCCGATTTACCTGTATAAAATAAAACTAATTATAATTTGTATAAAGTAAGACGTAAGAGTGATGGACAAAAATAACAATAATCATTATATAATTTAACTTACGATAATAATACAGAATTTAAAAGTGTGCCGTTTTCAGTAATGTAATTATGTACATGACATAAATACTAACACCTAAATATTACAATGTCTGCAATGTTTAGTAAGTGTCGATATAATTTATTATATTAGCCAGTGTTTCCCAACTTGTTTTACCCATGTAATCTGAACATTTTTACGGAACCCCCCTTTTTTCAAAAAAATTAGATTAATACCAGTTATTAAATATTATTTGGCTATGGCCAAAATAATTATTATAACATTATTCTATAACAAATATTTGATGATATGATACAGTAATATCCCAAAGAGAAAAGGATTAGCTCTCGTTCGTAATTCGAATCCTTGTTCAGGTCAAATATGTTATTTATTTTTTCCTAAAATTCCTCACGGAACCTCCGAGTACCGCAGAACACCAGTTGAGAAACACTGATATAAGCATTGTTTTTAATGTGTGTCCTTACCAACACCGATCGGTCCATCGAGCACAATCAATTTGGTGTTTTCATCGAAGCGGGAGGTGGTCTTGTCAAACATACTCGTGAGTAATGTATAGTCTTTCTCCAAATACGGGAACGGCGCAGGTTTCTTCGAGACAACTCCCAGCGACTTTTGCAAAGCGATGCTGGCAATGTGTCGTTTGGACGAGAGCGCGAACGGCACGCGGACCAGAATCCTCTGGATATTGGTCAACGCCATTTTGTTCGTTCGTCAAATTCGAAGGTTTTGCCTCACGAAGGAAACCTGGCGAAAAGATTTCCTCAATTCCCAAGTCATCGACGTACATATGATTAGTGGGTTATCAGTTGTAGCAGTGGTAGAACTCGCGTACTATCATCCACGGCAGCTGAGGTCGTATTATTACTCTATGGGGAGTCGTCGTGACGTCTTCCAGTATGCCGCTACCACTGAACAGTCAATTGCCCGCGCGATCAGGTTGGCAATCGTGGTTATAGATAAAAACATACAATGTTGTGTAATACTAATGTTCGGAACGGAATAGGAAAATCGAGACACTACGACGACCGACGAAGACGACGTCCTTCTCATGCCGAAACCCCTCCGTGACTCTTCCCGTCCGACCGTACCGCCACCTGCCGGTTTCCGCATGCGGCCCGTCGAACATACGACCGCGGCGGCAGTTTTGCGTAACATAACCATCGGCGGAGGAGTGCGCCGTTGCCGTGTTCCACTCTCAATGTTATAAATAAAAATAAAAACGCGCCGTGCTCGACACATTGTTTTCCCGCGCGGCCAGTGTTGTGTCCGTTGCCAGACCCGACCACAGCTGGCATGATGTGCATGGTTTTCGACGCCCGCCAACGACGACAAGCTACAAACGTGACCGAACGTGCCGTTACCTTCAAATCACATAGAAACAATCACCTACACGACGACCACGGGAACCGCCGCCCGCAGTTGAAAAAGTTGTTTTACTCTACCGCAGCCATATACACGCGGATACGACCATGCCCCGTGGAAAGCGCAGGCCACACAAGACCGCTATGGGTAAAACGAATAACAAAATTATAGATATAAATTTAAACTACTATAATACCTATAAAACAATATCTATACTATAATGCACACCGAAAGTGTGATAGGTTGACCTAATCACCGTGTGCAATTCAAACATAGGTACGATCGCCGCTTTCGGTCTCGTTGATTTCATTTTCGTAATCCTGTAAACAGTGCGTCATTATCCAATGTGTAACAACGCGTATACGTAACCGCTAAATTGCGTATTTGCGTTTCACCGACATTGTATTGAAATATTACACGCTCTCCGCCACCGACACTATTAGTAAGGGGTGCCCTTCCCCCCTCCCCCGGGAAACTTTACTGTTGTCATGTGCCTTGTAGGTGCCTCACCGTTTTTCGCCACATGGCCTCCGGGCAACGCGCGATTACACGACTTCACCGCCGGTGTTGACAACGAAATTTCAGTTTTTTTTTGCTTTCACGTTTGAAGGACACATAGTGGGAGAAATAATGCTTTTTTTCGAGCTTATTAATATGTACTCGTATATGGTGTCTACCCGGAAATCTAATGAAAATCATGCCTTGCATTATATACCTATCTCATTTCCTTAATTTTTGCTAGTTATTCTGGAAATTAGTGCTACCCAGGTGATTATTTTAGTCTGACTATTATTCAGGCATATTATATAATTTTGACGTCTACACATTTACTACCCGTTTTATTATCTCGTTTAAATAATTTTTTTTTTTTTTATACATTCTTCGTTCTGTATGCCAATTATGCTTCATAACCTAAAAACAAATTGTAAAGTATGCAATATTGTTGGTGTTCTATAATAACACGTGTACCATAAACTTCCCTATTCACGTGGCATTTAAAACTTTCTGATATTGAAAAAAAAAATTTTTCAAAGTCCTTGTTCAAAGCATATTGTTAATTAAATACTACTTATCAAAGTAATAATAGCTATTACAAAAATATATTAAACAAATATTTTGTATTTAAAAGACAAATTAAAAGAAGGAAAATAAAATTATATATAAACAACTTTATTAATATATAAATAAAAATATAGCGGACTGCTTACCTTGTGAGTTGCCTTACGACATAGTTTACCATTCAATACAGTTGTACATAGCTTTTGGGTTTAAAATGTATATAGATATAGATATAGATACTTCAGTCTTACTTTTTCTAAAATACACTTACCTCAACAACTTGATAGCAATCGCATACAAGAGTCACGACAAATATTGTGTAGATAAATAATCAATATTATTTACCATCATGTTGTGATAACGATTATAAAACGAAACGACATTTGTGCCCCAAGTTACCCACTTTTACAGTAGTAATGGACGTTGATAATGGCTTATACAAATTAGGAATAAAATATGGGATTATCAATCAGATACTGCCATACGGTCATCCACCTTAACATATGCATTTTAAACTAATTATTTTATTTATAAAATAATGTGTTTATCTTTTTACTAAAAATTATAATATGATAAGAGCTTTACATGTAGACTTAATTTATAAATTTCCCGCTATTTGACAATAACTTAAGTAATTTACTATTTGAGTATTAATAGTACTCATTCCTTATAGTAAATTTTCTTATGGTAATTATAAATTAAAATGTAAATAATTTTTTGTTAATATTTTGTAAATTAAACTGTAGTTTGAGTTATAATAGTTTATATTTAAAATAATGATATATGAAAAACCATAGGTACCAGTAAGAGAAAACATTTATAAAAATAAAATTCTTAGTTACTAATGGTTTAATAACATGTAGTATAATGTTATAACTTAATTAAAACATTTTTTAGATGCACTAGCTGGAAAAGGTCGTGATTTAGACATGTCAGATGATGAATCATATAATGATAATGCGAGTGTAATCAGTAATATATCTTGTAGCACATCTAATGAAGAACGATCATGTAAGTATTGAAATGGATAATAACTTAAATTAATTTTTTAAATATAATTAAAATTGAATTAAAGGTGTTGCTACTGAAGATACTGATGAGTCTCAGAATGATGCATTTGAAGAAAAACTAAGTGATGCAATTGATGGTCTATCACAAAAATCTGCACAAGGACGTACACTAAGTTTTGAAGCTGTTTGTAACATATTTTGTAAGAAATACATACCCGATTATATTTTAAATAGGTAAGTTAAAATGTCTTCTATTTATTATATTATTACTGGAAAAAGCATTGTTTTTCATTTATTTCTATAGGCGTATGACAATTGCTGATTCTATTGAACGTGCACTTAAAAAAGGTGGTGATAATGAAAAAGCAGCAGCTGCAAATTTAGCCAGTTTATTATGTATACAATTGGGTGCAATAGATGTTGCAGAAGAAACATGTCAAGAACTATTATCTACACTAATGTTTGTTGCTAATGATGAATCTGTTCCTTTATTGGCTAGAGAAAAAGTAATTGATTATTTTTTTTTTTTTTTATGAACTTCTATATGTTTATTACATTAAATTGACGTACTTACCTTTAAAATTTAATTAATAAATGTGAAATTTACATATTAGTGTGCAATTTATGTTTTAGTGCTGTTTAGCCATTGCATTACTATCTTTTATTAGTTGCAATGAAGAAATTGATGTGGCTATGCAATTAATGCATAATTTATGGAGCCGTTTATTACATTCAGCCACTATTCCACCAGCAAAAGCTGTATTATATTCATCAGCTTTATCTTCTTGGTCTTTGCTATTATCTACAGTATCAATAAGAAACTCTACTATTATTCCGTAAGCTAATATAGATTACAAACTTTTTTTTTTTGTATAACTCGGATATCATTAATATAAACATTTTTTTTTTTTTTTTTAGTACTTTAGCAGATTTAAGTACTCTTTTAGATTCTACATATCTAGAAGTAAGAATGGTTACTGGAGAACTAATTACAATTATACTGGAAATGGCTCGTGAATGTGAAGATATGGATGAGTATGAGCCTGATGAAGAATTTATTAATAAATTACGTGATTTGGCAACAGATTCACAAAAGTATCGAGCTAAAAAAGATAGAAAAACTCAAAGATCAAATTTCAGACAAATTCTTCATTATGTAGAAGTAAAATTAAATTCATAATTTTAATTTGAGTTGATATTAATATTTTATTTTTGTAGTTGGATGAACCTCCAAATATTCAAATACGTTTTGGTCAAGAAATATTAACAATGAACTCATGGACAAAAAAAAAGCAATATGATGTATTGTGTCAGGCATTGGGATCTGGAATGAATATGCATATGACTGAAAATGATCTAGTTAGAGATATATTAAGCCTTGGTCCTAAATTATGTCAAACAAAACTTTTGAGTAATAAACAATCAAAACTCGAGAGGGTAAATTAACACATATAATGCTTAATTAATACATTTTCTAATATTTGTTTTCATGTAATGTATTATTTTTTTTTTAATTTTTTTAGCAACAAATTAATGCTGCCAACTTCAAGGTACGCACAAAAACTAGAGGAAAAGTACGAGATAAAAGAATAGCTTTAATTGATTAGAGAGTAGTATAATAATAAAAAATTAAATAATATACTCGTGATAAATATTATTGTTAGTCTTAATATTATTTTTAGTTCTAAAAATGTATATGTATTGTGATATATGTATTTTTTAATAATTTGGGTGTCTTTTTCTTTTTTTTGTCTGTTAATATCTAAAATCTTAAATCTTAATGGGACTTTCATATCTTTACTAAAAATTTAATATTACATTATAATTTATTCAAAATCTTGTTCTTCTAAAATATTATTCTAATACTGCTATAATAACAATGTTGGTGCCTGTTGTACTACTAATTACAATTTGTAACTTATAACTGCCATTTATGATATTGTATTGAGACTGAAAATATATAAATAATTGTAAAAAAAAAAAAAATCTCAATCAAGAATAATTTTCTTTTTTCTATATTTCATGATTATTTCCGATTTTCCTAATGCAATAGCCAATATTTTTTTTAGTTTTCTTTAAAATAAAATTTCATTATTAAAATTTTTAATAAATCCTATTTTAACAAAAAAGTAGTTACAGGCATCTAAATAAATATTGTATAATATAGTTTAGTTTATTATGTATGCATTTGTTCTAAATATCTAATGTAGTTAAAATTTATTTTATGTGTTATATACAATTGAAATATTTTTCTTTAATTAAATTTTTAAAGAAAGAAATAGTTGTGGTTTATTTTAATAATGATACCTTTTACAATTATATCATAACTTATTATGCAACTTTTAGAAAGTAAATTGGTATGTATATCATACTTAATTATAAAATGTAATTTCTCCATTATATTTTAATCTAGTTATCATTCAATTTTGGATTATGTACAATATTTTATCTTAATTAATATCCTATAGAACAACATTCAAGCACTATTCTCCCACTTAAAAATCATTATACATGGAATTTCTGAATGTTTTGCATTTCGACCCAGGTGCTTATCAAAATTTCTTGTGATTAAAGGGCAAGTAGATTATCTCTAGCAAGTGTTCGACTTTTGTCTGGAAATCAAACAATTTTATTGCTCCACCTTATCCTAGTTAAAAGAAATTATGTAAAAAAATATAAGGTGCCTATAAAAGTAATTTAATGTGAATAATTATAGAGTTGAATTTTCCTGTGTAGAATTATGAGCGACTTATTTGAATTATATTTACTAAGAAATCAAATGTATGATTTCAATAAATATTGGACAAACACTGATATTAGTAACACGTAAGTACATTTAAATTTCATTAAACTCAATATGAATGTGATAAGAAAATAAGATTTGGTATGATAAAGATTCTACTAAAGAATTATTCTTAATGTTTTGTTTAGCTAATGTGTCAAGTATTTTACAAATTATATTCTTGATTTTAAAATTATAATGTGAATCTAACATCATTATTATTAAAACTAAAAATAATATTTTAATTAAAAGTTAGGTTTTATATTGATATTTTTATTGATTTATAATTATAGTATTATGGACTATGTCAAAACAGAATAATTTTAATTTTTTTTTTTTTATATGGTATTGTAATTAATAAATATTAATATAGTCTTATTACCGAGCAATTATTTAAATCCATCCAAAAAAAAAATTTTTTTAATAAAAATATTGATATGATTTTCTTAAAATGGTTGACCAAAACTCTACCTACAACTTAAATATTTTGAAATGTTTATTTGTTCATTGATACACGGTTTAGCTCTATTGCCACTTAGGTAATCTAAAGTTAGGCGCATTTTGTTACTCATATTATTTTGGATTTCAACGCCATCAGATAAAAGCTTGATGAAAGTTCATTATATTCTAACATTTTCTTATACATTGTGATAAAATGAACAATTATTTCATCCGAATACCTATTTATACTTTTAGATGTGCATCGTTAAGTTATAATGTAATATTTCAGATGAGTATAATTTTATAAGTTGGTACCAAATGATTTTAAATCTCGGGATTTATACCTTATGGTCAGTGGTTTGTATGGAGGGTATCACACGCGAATAACCATTATTTTTAACAATTTGCTACAGTTTAAGTATAAATTTAATTTAATAAAATATAATTTTCAAATATTCCTGTTCACTATAGAGTTCGGTATCTAATTTAGCTCATTTGTTCAATTAATAGAATCACTGTGATTTCTGATCTATAATTGCATACGCTCCTTACTGATTATATCATTTAAGCATTTCTTCATAGCGTTTATTATGACTGATGAGTACCAAATATAACAATATGTAAATTAAAAAAGTCCTTTCACATTTTTTCAGTATTTGATTGTCCTCATCACCAATTTATCCACAATTATAATGATAGTAAGATATGACCACATTATAGACCTTATTATTAGTATAAGGTCTATGGATCGCATCCGTCAATAATAATTTGTATAAAACATACATGAATAGAAAATATTCTATGGTATACGGTTAACTCCGTTGTAAAAAAAATTATAAAAAAACAATATTTTACCAAATTGCTATTAATATGATCCACTAACCTATAAAACATAAATTTGGGTTACTGCCAACATTTATTTATAGTTGTATTTATTTTAAACTGTTGACTGAAAAAAACTGTTTTTGACATGCTTCGCAAAATCATGACGATGACTTTTGGTATTGGTCATATTTTACACTGGAATGATAGAAATCTACTAGAGTTTCCGGAAGATCTAAAACGGCATAAAGATCAAGTATATCAACTTTATATAAAAAACAACTCTATTGAAATACTGGTAAATATATTTAAAATTAATTATTTATGTTTAATTTGCATGAATTCATTCGCACCTAATATTATACAGACCTACTACAATTGTACAAAGTGGTTGAAGTAAAGTAGGATGTCCCTTTACTAATTTTTTCAAAATAAATTATGCATTAGTCGGAAAAGTTGTGATCTTAGAAAGATTATATGCACTGTAGTTTATAAAAACCATGGTTTTTGTGCACAATGTATTTTTTAAAGTAAATTTTATCTTGGATACATTTTTATCTTTTACTTTTAAATGTATATATTTTTAAGAAGCTAAATAACATAATATAAAGAACTAATTAGCTATTTATGAGGAGTTATCGTCCAACTTTAAGCCACTTCAACCACTGGATGTACATGCAAACTTTAGTTGAATTAAAATGCACAATTTAAACGTTTTGAATTGACTTATTTTTCTTCATTCCATGCGCACAAAAAAATACGGATAGCCACGATGGATCAACATAATGGCTAAGCTAACTCACATATATGTAGGCAACAATAAATTGTCGAGTTTCCCTGAGGAACTAAGTCATCTGAAGAATTTGGAAGTACTGTGCGCCCCTAGTAATTTTATAACGGATATCCCGCCAGCGCTGTCCGCACTCAAAAGACTGACACAACTCGACTTGTCACGCAACCGAATAAAAAATGTCCCCCATGGTATGTAAAATGTTTATTATTTCAGGGTAATATTAAGACTTTCCAAATTACTATTAATAACAATCATATTTTTATATTTGTTATCACATCGAATTCAAAGGCGGGATTAGAACATTTTCTGAAAAAGTCATCTGAATTTCTGAACCAATATAATATCACTATAATGGCGAATAAATTAAATACTCGAGTAATTACTGTATACCTATTTTTCCAATTTACCCGTTGTATACTAATTGAGTCCTTAAACTTGAACGAAAAAAATATATACTAATTTTTTTGGAGATGAAGTGTGCCGCATTGTTAAAAAGGTTGAAAACCACTGATATAGATAGTCCATACAATGAAATAACTTAACTTTTTGTTCTATATTTTAACAAATCGGGTTTCTTAACCAATATGCCCTTTTTTAAAAAAGGTTATACGAAAAAAAAACTTAAATGTAGAGTTATTGTTTTCTGGCCTTAGGTAAATTACGTTTTTACATTGAATCGACTACCACAATAGGAAATTCATAAAAGATTAATGCTTATATTTTTTGGGGAGAGGAATGTTGACTTTCTAAACTTTAAGTTAACTTCCTCGCCTACCAAGACGATTTGCACACATGTTTTTTTACTTAATAGTTAATATATTATGTGTGATTTTCGATCCGCGTCTATTCAATACTATTTTTGTATGCGTAGAAATTTTCAATATGCGATCTTTATGGTTACTGGACCTATCCCACAATGAAATCGAGACGTTGCCGGAAATCGACCCCGAAGGATTATACTTTGGTGAGATATTGCTGCACAATAACAAACTACTTTGTGTACCGGATAACTTGTGTCGTTTGAAGAACATCGAATATCTATCGCTCACGCACAACAGACTCTTGTACGTACCAGCAGTGATAATTAGAACGGAAGCGAAAATCAAAGTGGACCACAATCCTTTCTTGGCCTACGTGCCGATGTACATTAGGTAAAAATTTCCAATTGTATTTTTATACCAATACATGTGTATCGGTTTTATTTCTAGTCTAGTTTTTCTCGTCACTATACATGTACCTATACGTATAAATGCGTGTATGTATGTTACATAGGACAGACAACTGCGGCACTCAAAAATTTCTGGAAGCACATATGTTACCCAACGTAACGCTCACGTACGCTGATCGCGATATGATCGTATCTCCTAAAATCAAACAAGTGTTCAGTGTCCAGTGGAACGCCTACTGTCCATCGTTGAAAGAATTCGCTCTTAGGTCGCTTTGCGTTTGGAAGACACCATTTTCCAAGGACCACGTTCCCAAAATTGTTTACGAACAACTGCTATCCGGGCCGGCCGCTTCCTGTATGCAATGCTTAAGACTTATGTTCACATACAGTTTTATATGTTTATACCAACACGGGTAAGATGTTTTACCGAACAGCATGGCACCGGTGTCCACTCGTGCGACGCGATAGGTGAAGCCACATGAATAATCCCCCCCGATGCGAATTTATCCCAACGGAACAAACCGACAAGCAATAAATCATAATGTATAAACAATGTAAGTCGATACGACATAATAACAAGTCGTTATTGTCGATAATCATCGACGGTGTTGCTTTGTAATCGCGCCATTGTACATTGTCCTATAGTCGTTTACACGAGGAATACATATACGTAGTAGGCGTCGAATTGCTTGTTACGTCGTTTATCGTATTGCATCGCACTAGTGGAAACTGCGTCTATAGAGTAGATACGATAAATACCGTTGTTCAATTACCAGTTGTACAACTATGAAGGGCTTCAGATGTTTCAGCATCTAAACTAAAAACCTTTTTCATTGATCCATAGGCGTACGAAAGGGTACATCTGCTCTCTTTAAGACGCCAGATATTTTTATGGGCGTATATATATACAGCCTTAAGTTTAATGACAGACTACATTTTTTCTTTTTTTTCTACGTGTTCGTGATAGGATTACAAGGATACATACATAGATCATTTATTAACCTGGAAACGCTTTTTCGTTTAAAATTCTTGGTGCTGACAAATATACAATGTATCTATTAGCAAAAAATTTGCTGAAAATGTTCCTTTGCGCTGCAACTGACTGAGAATTCTGCACACACCTATGCATTGAGCAGTATATATATATATATATATATGACATTACGACTTTACATTTTAAAAATTAAAATAGCCGTGTTCTATAACTATAATTTATATATACAATATGTAGTTTATATAATAGTGCACATTCACTAAAGTTAATTTTTTGATTATTATAATATTTTACTATGTTAGTATACATGTGCGGATCGAAGGAGACGCAATAATACCAGTGGCGGTTCTAGCGTACGGGCAGGGTGGGCAGCTGCCCGTACCAACATTTTTACGTTCACCTTAAAAGGTTCACTGTGATGTTTAAATAAGTAAATAATTAAGGAATTCAAATACATATTTGTTTTTATTATTTACACTTTCATAAATAAAAAAGTGTTTAATTGGGAAATCTTTATTTTTAAAAGCTTCAACATTGTCTGATGTACATCAACAAATAAGTAATTATGGCGAAGCTTTCACTAACTTGAGAAAAGTAGTTGAATTATCTATGGTAATTCCTGTATCCTAAACTAGTGCTGAACGAAGTTTTTCTACTATGCGACGTATTAAGACTTACTTGAGAGCTACAATGCAAAATCCTAGGTCGAGTAACCTTGCTTTATTAGCTATAGATAAAGAGAATTCGGAAAATTTTTTAAAAAACCCAACTCCTGCTCTTGATATGTTTGCAAAAATAAAACATAGAAGATTAAAATTTCAGATATAGTAAAAATATAGTTTATATTATACTTTATCATTATAATATGTTAAATTATTTTTTATATACCTAAAGAAAAAAGAAAACATATATATATATCTAATTTTAAATAATATTTTTATTTTTTATGTGTGTTAACTGTTAAGGAAAAAACTGTAGCTTAGGAAAATTTAGGATTTAAATTTAGCTTACAGCTTACTTCTAAATGTACATAAGGATGTTATAAATTTTTTATCGGATAATAGCAACATTTGGTTTCTCTGTGAAAACAAAAGATATTTATTACTTATTATTTACAAAATTACAATTTACAAATTTACCTATGAAAACAAAATAAACAACAATATATGTTACTTACACGCGTACGATACGCGCCTACATGAAACGGGACGTAACTTGAAACATAAAATATATTGTTTGCCCATACGAAAATCTAGTCCTAGAACCGCCCCTGAATAATCCCTCAAAACATTTTTTTTTTTTAGATAGCAAAAATAAAACTGTTCAATTATTTATTATTAATCGTTTAAGAATCTTAAACTTTTTGTATACTCATAAAATAATATAAACAATTTACATTGTACAGAATCGGTTATAATTTTTAGTATATACAAGCTACACACCAATGGGTATGTTGTATCTTGTTTATCTTATTATATCTTGTATCAATCGATAATATACAGCGTATTATAATAAAAACTATTGAAACGTTATCTTTGTTACTGCAGAAAATCGTTAACCGTCGTATGTCACACGTCGTCTTGATTTCCATGAATTAAAACAAAAGTTCTTTATTAGTAAATCCTGAGTTTAAAAATATAAATTCTGCTCATTAGACAATCTATCAAATCATTTTGATCAAAATTACTATCCAATATATACATAATTTCTTAATATTTTAGTTACATTGCCAATTTCTATCGCAACAGCAGAAAGAAGTATTTCCTTATTAAGACTGCTTAAACCTTGGTTAAGGGTAATAATGAGAGAAAAAAGATTTCAGAGTTAGTTCTAATGTAATATCCTTTTAAATATTGACAATGAAAATAACATAAAAAATATAATTAACAGATTTTCTATAGAAAAACAATGAAAATTTGACTTTGTATAATAGAAATAAAATATAGGTGCTATTAAATTTGTAATACCATTATATAATGTCATTTTATTCCTATAAATGTTATAAAATTTAACTTTATTCTTAAATCTACAACTTATCATACACATAACCTATTTGTATGTACATGGCTATACGCCTTTATCCCCCTCCCTTGTGAAAAATGTTTAGATTAACTCCTACTAAAATTTGATTATAATTCGATCAGATTTAATGAACATAATACGAGTATACTTCGTGTTTATAATAAAAATTAATCGATTTTAGAAAACATTAATTATTATTATGTTTTTTACAGATCACAATATCCTTTTGATGCTCAATATTTTTGTTCCAAATCGTGTCATAGTGCATTTAAACAATTAATGAATATTCGTTACCAAAATCTAATCGTTCTACAAGAATTAGATTTTAAAATTAAACCTTTTGGATTTTTACCAACATGATTGTGATTTTTTTTTAATTTTAATTTTTTTTTTTTTTTTTGGATATTATGTTCCTTGTTTAATAATTATACAGCTATACAGCCTATAATTCACGATATAATTAATTTAATTTATATTTATTTATATTGTTTTGCATTATTAAGGAATTCGATTGTTTTTATGTTCATTATTGAAGTTTGTCTATTTTAAAGTATAAATATATGTATTTATGTATTATAAAAGTAAAATTATTACAATATATTATATATATTATACATCTCAATTATTTAATTTGTTTGTGATTAATAATTTGAATAAAACTATTATTTTTTAATAAATTAAGGATAATATTATTATATTCCTTAAAGCTATACTGTTTTTAAAAATAAGTGTTTTAACTAACAATAAAAATGTATTCGTGTAATAAAAAGTTTTTTTACAGTTGGCATAAAAATAGGAGTTTTTAAAACTTCAATTTTTATTTTTAATGAAAAATATGTAGCCTTATGAAATAAATTTGAACTTAGTTAACTTAAAATTGATAATTACATACAATTAAACATAAAGTTACAAAATAAATTCGATTATATAAAATAAAAAATTAATATTGAAATTTTATTTAAAATAAGTTACTTTTTAAGTATTTTAGTACTTAATATTTATTATTATTAATTATGACCAAATATAATTTATTATTTCCTAAAAATATGAATACATAAAAATGTGTTGTTTCGACAATGGGCCAGAGGCGGATCTAGCCCCACCCCCAGTTAAGGGGTCAGTTGACCCACAATTAATATTTGTTGATAAAATTGGCCTCTTGGAAATTTTTTTCTCTTTTTAGATCTTGATTTGGACTCTTGGACAGTTGGCCCATCGGAGTTACTTGAAAAATGAATGCCATGTGTATTCAAAATATAAAATTTTTCAATTCATAATTTATATTTTAAATTATATCGTTAGAAAGTTAAGTAAATCATATTTTATTCCGTACGTTTGTTGCACTGATCAAATTAGATTATATTTATTAATCGTAAATATGTCGTTATCGGTGGTATCACTAATTCTAAAATATAATATAAATATACTCAGTGGCATAATTATGGGGGCAAGGGGGGTAAGTGCCCCCCTGACAATTTTTTGAGAGATAAAGGTATAATTTTGCCCCAGATAATCCAACAGTACAAATAGCAACATTTATTAATGAACTATTATGGGTATTATTTAACAATATTGGTACCTAGTACCTACAATTTCTGTTAATCTAAACCACAAAATGAGTTAAAAGACTTATGTAAAATCAAATAATTAGGTATACTGTATAAAATACATACAATAAAAATATGTTTTAACTGGTGATGGGGAGGGGTATCAGGATTTTGGTAAAAATATATAATATTGCCCCCCTAAATTTTTTCCCAGTTACGCCACTAAATATACTTATACACTTTTATGAGCATATTGTGTTTTTTTTTTTTTTTACAAGGTATTCATTTTTAATTCTGTTTCATCCCTAATAAATGGCCTCTTGAAATGGCTTGACCCACAGTTTCCCGACTCTGAATCCGCCCCTGCAATGGGCCTAAAGGCTCGTAAAAGACTAGAAAAAATAAAAAGATTTTCTAAAATATTATTAATCTTTGTTTGAAGATTTGTATCGCTATATTTGATTGCAGTACCTATATACGGTAAATCTTTCAATTTTAAAGGTACGGGTAGCCGTAACGTAATGGGAATACAATTTTTCGGGTATATAGAATTTGCTTAAATTTTATCACATGCGGTCAGCCGGACGGCTGGCCGCATTACAGGCTTCCACATAGTGCGTATGCACCCTAACTAAAGCTAGAATAACGTAATTGAAATTTTGTTGGCTTTCAATAAATAGTCTGCATTCTATGCTTTTCCAGATTTGGAATGTTTAAGTGGGGTATTTACTGTTCGGTATTTATGAAAAATCGACAAGTGAAATCATTGAGCTCATATTTCTAAATCTTCTGTTATTAATACCCCGAGACGACAAAAAAAAATAAACAAACTAATAAATGTTAAAATTCAAAAAGTCTGAATAGAAAATCAACATTTTTATAATTACATATTTTAATATAAATTCAATTTTCTAAAAATACTATAGAAATATATTTTTTCGAATCTCATACCGCCAATTTTACGTATTTCTTAATATTTATTGATAGATATAGGCTAAATTTATATATAATTCCCATATGACATTTTCTATCCATTAATGTAACATACCTTATATAAAACAAAAATATATATATGGTTGACAACAAAACAATCATAACTTAAATAGAATACTCACAATAATATATTTGTCCTATCTTTATTTAATTATTTCATTACATTGACAATCTCAACCTAATTACGTGATTGTTGATTAGGATGCGAGATTATTGTTACACCAAAGTAAAACTATTGAACGACTTCCAATTGTAATAACGGTTAAACATTTACAAGAAAATTACAAACACTCCACAACTTAGGTGATCAACAGGTTAATAAGTGTGTAATGCATTACAAGAATGAAGATTATGTGATATTATTTAAATTTTGTGTTGTGATACAATTGCGTCCAATATAAAACATGTATTGTAATTAAGGATGAAAAACGTTTTTAATTTTTTTGTTTTCGTTATTGTTTATTGATTTAAAAAATATCGTTTTTGTTTAACATTTTTAAATGTTTTTGATTAACGTTTTTAAAAATGTTATTTTTCATTAATCATTCATATTGAGTGAAAAAAGCAAACAACTATTAGTTTTAAATGATTTTAAATTTTTTAAACATCATATATCTAAAAAATATGAAAATACGTGGCGTTGTGTAACAAATAAGTGTAATGCAAAAGTTTATACTGTAGGTCAAAATGCCCAGTTAATAAATATAGATAAATCGTGTTTTGATCAGTCATGTAAAGGATAGCACCTTAAAATGGCAAAAAATTAGTAATTTTTGCAAAAGAAAAGCCGTATACTTTATAGTTGAAAAACCATCAAAAATAATACGAAAAGAAGTATTTAATTATGTTAACGAAGGAGATTTGATTTCACCCAATTTATAACTCATAGCAAGAAATATTCACAATGCAAGGATGCATTGTTTTCCCAAACTATCGTCATCAAGAAAAGAAGTTAACGAAACAGTTTATTAGACATAAAAACAAGTAAAGATGAGTTATTTTTATATGGCAACGATACAATAAATGCAAGGCCGGATTGGACAAATTTGGCCCACCGAGTTTTCTGTATGTTACCGGCCCACTTACGAACTGGCGGTCCTTGTCCAAATTTTTTTAATTGCATATTTCAATAGATGCACTAATCTTCAACTTTTAACTATTAATATTTTCTGTTTACGGCCTTTCACAACTTAAAAGGCCAAAAATTGTTGCGGTCCACCGAGTTTTGCTCGGTAACTCGCCGGGCCAATCCGGCCCTGACTAAATGAAATAGTTATTTTTTCATGTAAAACAAACATAGACTTTTTATAAGAATTAGATGTACTTTTAACTACAGTGATAAATATTACACGCAATTATACACGGTTCATGACCAGGGATGTATTTGAGGGGGGATGAGTGGGTACCATCGCCTCGGGTGGCACATTTTTTTGTAACCACCATCTATTTTCATTCGTCAATCAAAAAATGTTAATGTTTTAAGATTTTGCGCAGTGACCACATGGCAATTTTTATTTTCATGATAATATTATCAAAAGTTGATCGCATAAAATTCGTTGATAATAAATATTACCTTTCTTGAAAATCGTATACGTGTAGGGATGGCAATAAACTATACCTGGGGCAACAAAACTCTAAATACGTCTCTGTTCATGACATTAAAAATGGAGTATACATTCCGTCAGTGTTTTGTTTATTGCCAAATAAAGAAAAAAAGAAATACATTGCATTATTGAAAATAATAAAAATAGCTGGAGTAATACCTAAAAAAATTACTTTAGAATTTGAAATAGCAAAATATCAAGCAGTTTTTGAAATTTTTCCGGAAACAGAGGTGTTTGGTTGTCATTTTCATTTGGCCCAAACTTGGTATCGTAAAATTCAAAATTTAGGTTTCGCATCACAATTTAATTCTGCAAATGATAATTAAGGAAAATGGTTGGTACATATTTTTGGACTTCCTTTTCTCAATGCAAAGGAAGTGGCAAAATGTTTTATAGAATATTTTATGGCAGACAAACCTGAAAATACAGCTATAACAAAATTTGCTAATTATTTGATAGACAATTATATATCAAATGAATCAATCTTTCCTCCTAAATGTAGGCGCGGCAATGTTCTGAGTTCATACGACAAACGCATGTGAAAGTTTTCATTTAAATTTTAATTCAAATTTTTATCACCAACATCCACATATTTTTAAAATTATTGAAATTCTCAAACTTTTTCAATTAAATACGTATATTAAAATAAGAACCACAATTAATAACTCAAAACCAAAAATCAGTAAAAAAATACGCCGAAAAAGATTTCATAAATGAAAAAATTACAGATTATAAAACGAACAAAATTAATTAATACGATTATGTTAAGTTTTTAGGTTATAGAAATAAACCTCACAAAATATTAAATTTTGCACTATACGATTTTTTTTATATTTTTTAATCATCATATACATATTTAAATACATATTTAATTGTGTATATACATATTTTTGTGATTATATATATTTTATACATTATTTACATACTTATATTATTTATTATTAATTATTATATTTACATTATACATATTTTTGTTATGTATATTATTTTTTTTATCTAGTTTTTACCGTGTAGGAACTTACATATGTACCTTTTTCTATCGCGTAGGAACTAACGTAAGTATTTTTTTTACCTGCTACTCTTATATAAGAACTTACATTCGCCCTATTATTCTGTTCGTGTTTTGTTTATCAGCTTTCTATACATCTCTAATCCAGTGAAATAAATTACATTAATTTTGTGATTTCGAATGAAGTTACATTTATATTTTAAAGTAATATTGTGGGGGAAATAATACAATTTATTATTGAAATGATCGATTTTCTTACAACAACAAAAAAAAAAAAAACACATTAAATAATAGATAATTTTTTAAAAAAAATTACAATTCCTAGTACCTACTCATATCAAATTATGTATAGTAATAAATAAGACTATACAATGTCTTGTTTTATTTAAATTAAATTAGTAGTGATTTACTTGCCTAAAAATATATTGATCTAATCAATTGTTAACTTTACATAAATAAATATAATAAACTCAGTATTAAGTCTATTTTTGTATTATTTATGTAAAATAAAAAAAATATTTGATGAAGTATTTACATGTAAAGCGCGGAAACATTTGTTTGCCTATGTGTGATTAAATATTGAAGCCGGGTCCTGGATAGGCCTTTCGATCTAAATTTCTTCAACGACCAAACTTCACTTACGTTCATTGTAACCATTCTTTATGGATTGTATGTACAATAAAAATATTCATAACAAAAAAAAAAGTTATGAAACAATAATTTCAAAATACCATAAGGGTGGTCACACTGGAGGGACATGTTTGTAAACCTTCTGAAACATTTTACATTGTGAAATAAGTAAAAATGTATTAGGTAACATGATTATGTTTTTCGGTTTGTCCGCCGTTTGTCGCAGTGTGTTGTTCAATATTGTTATCGCGTTTTCAATTTTGAAAGCGATATAATAGAATATACTTCATATCTTTTATTTACACATATTTGTTTCACTAGAATTAAATTATTGTTTTAACTATCACTATGCCCTTTCATTTAAAAGTAACCAATCTTATTAATTAAACTCTGTTAATTTACGTCAATATGATGTCGATCCCGACCAACAATCTTAAATTAGCTGTAGAAATGGCGACAAGAGTAGAATCCGCTCTAGCGAAACGAGTTGGTGATCAACCGGAGGTATGTACTGCCGTCTTGCGTTGGTGTTAACCTAAAGTATAAACTTTAATTAACATAGCATTTTTTTCCACAGACTCAGTGTACGACACCCCCTCAAGCAACGCCACAGTTAAAAACACAATTTGAGATTAACGATTTGGCTGACACAGATCGTATATTACTTACTAGCAAATCTATTCAGAATGATATTGAAGAATTTTCTGGTAATTGCTTACAATTATTATTTTCTAAAATCAAACTCTTAATAGCAACTCAAAATGTTACTGTAATGAAATTAATTTTCAGCATATTCTCAACATAAAAAAATGTTTGGTTATAAATTCAATACATCATAAATATGATTGTAGTTCATGCAATATAGTCAGAGCCATACCGAGCCATTTTTTATCCTGGGGCAGAACTGGAGCAATTCGCCCCTAGGTTGTAGGGTTGTGGTCACACTCGCAGCTTTTAATTTGTAATAAAATATTACGATTCGGAAAAATCTGATAAATTGTAATTAGGTTTCTTGCATAACAAGAAATAACATTTCTTAAGTTAATTATTTAATATTTTTGCGCTCCCCCATATTCAGGTGCTCACGGCAAGTGCCTTGCTCACCTCACCCTAGTTACGGCTCTGGATATGGTCATATTTCTTTTATTTTAAATGTGTAAAAATACAATTTTTCCTAAAGTACATGATTATTTTAGAGTACATCTTATTCAACAGTTTCTATATTTTTTTTACAGGTACAGTTATTGTTACCCGAGGACGGTACTTAACTCCCAAAGAAAAAAATCAAGCATCATCTGAGCGATCATTACATTTACTTATTAAAGGGCCAAAAAAACAAAATTTAGACCGTAAGAATATATTTTAGATATTTTTATAAAATTGTTGAATTTAAATTTATTTATGTTTGCTTATAAATTAGTTGCTATTCAAAAAATTCAATCTCTTATTCAACGAGACAAAGATATGTCTAAACATCCAAATTTAACATCAGGTCCTTTAATCAATGGCGCTGGTATTGTAAGTATAATATATTTCTATGTACCATTTAGAAACATAATTTTTACATAATAATTACAATATATCTAATAAGTATGATTTTATCATAAAATGTATAGGAAAAAGTCTTAATTGGCCTAGATCATGCACCTCCTGCTTTCGACCTAAGAAACAAAATTTTGGGCTTAAATGGAGCCAATCTTCATTATATAATGAATGAAACTGGAGCTGTAGTAACTATGCGAGGGCGAGGTTCAGGATTTATTGAAGCGAACGGACAGGAATCAGTTGAACCTTTACATCTTTGTGTCGAGTAATTAAATATTATTGTGGTTTTTAGTTAATAAATTTACAAATAAATATTTTTGTTAAATTTGTCTTGTTTTGAATTATTTAGGCATGCTAAAAATGAAGTGCTGCAAAATGGCAGACAATTGGCTTTTAATCTTATTGAAACTATTCAAAATGAATATAGTGCTACTTATGCTTCTAATCATGTTGCACCACCACCTAATGTTGCACATCAACCAACTAATGTACATATCCAACAACCTCAAGTAATTCATCAAACTATTCAAACTAACAATGGCCAACTACAACAGTTAAATCCAGGTAATTATTAAAGATTTATTTTTAAGTAAGAACTATAATTTTAAATAATTCAATTTACAGGCCAATATCAAACTCTTCAGGTTGCTACACAGTCTGGAATGATGACATTACAAGATGGTTCACAGGTAGTTCAGACATCTGTTGCTAATGTTCAAATGCCATTATTTACACAACAAGCCAGTAAGAGTTGAATTGAAATAAATATTTTTAGTACTTACATATTATTTGATCTCCCAAAATTTTTATTATACAATTGTTTTATTTTAACATTTTTATTATTTTCAATTAAATGAACTATTGAAAAATAATAAATAATAAAATAAAATATTTGTCGTAAGCTTTTATATACTTACTCTTTTTTTTAAGATTTAATTAAATTTTTATTTAATCAATAATTTAGTCCCTCAATTAATGGCTGTTCCTCCGCCCGTAATGGGAGGTCAACAACAACAACAACAGTCTGCACAAAATACTCCAGGACCAACCCACATCGCTTCTTTGGGTCAACATCAAGCATCAATCATGCCTCAATTACAAACACAAGTAGTCAATCAGCAACAACAGCACCAACTTCCTTTGTCTGTAACACCAGTTAGTTATTCAGCAATTCAACCTCAACAACAAATTCAGCAACAAACAATACAAACTGTAAATCATCAATAACATTTTATTATTATCTGATAAATAATAATTTATCTCTTTCATTTTAGAAAAGTTTAGAAAATATTCAACATACACCATCTGTAACTCATACTACTCCTACTTCACTAGCTAATGGTGTTATTCCACATACTCAGGCATTTATGACTCAAGCTTCACTTCCTATTCAAGTAAATATTGAGTTAATATTAATTTTTATACAAGTCAATATTATTATTTTATTCTTTGTAGTACATTCAAACTTCTAATGGTCAAATTATTGCATATCAACCCCAAGTACAATCAAATGCATTCCAAATGGCCCAAACTCCTAATGTTGGTCAAGTTGCCCAGTTAAGCCAACCTGCCAATAATGGATTAATCGGTACTACATATATACTGGGTAATCAAATGGCACAATATCAGCAGCCATCTGGTCAACCAGGTCAAGTTATGATTGTACAGTATCAACAACCACCACCAGCTGAAATCCAGCAACCTGCTATGCAAACTATTCATTTGCAGCAAACACAGTCTGGTCAGTTAATTCCAGCAAATATTCCTAATGGACAGTTGATTGTGCAACAAACCCCAGGGCAACCTGCTCAAATACAAATGATGATGCCTCAGTTAAATCAGTTCCAAAACCTTCAACCACAAATCATACAGAACTTACCTGGTTTATTACAGTCTCAAGTTAGTCAGGCATCTACTCAACAATTATTACTTCAACAGCAAAGTAAAGCTTTTACTCAACAGACCAGTGCACCTGCTGGAAATCAGTTAATGTCACTACCAATATCTCATCAGATTTTACAATCTCAAGGCAATGGTATTGTTACAATGACACTTCCACAACAACAGCAACAACAACAGCAACCATCAAAACCACAACATCAATTGATTCAGGCTCAAATGTCTGATAAACAACAAGTCATATATAAACAAGATGACAATCATCAACCAATTATGATACAGCAGGGACAACAACAGTCCATCCAATATTTTCAACAAAGCAACTTGAGTAATCAATTTCAATATCAACCTCTAAAACGTTCATATGAAATGGTTAGATAATTAAATTCAATTGGAAACAAAAAATGGATTATCAATTATACTTAATAATTTATTTTTTAGGTTGTATCAGAAGGTGGAGGAATAACTGGAGCTAAAATTATACGAACAGGACCATCTCCAGTCACTGGGCAAGTACTTAAATATAAATATACTACATAACATATTCAGCTTAATTTAATCACTAATAGTTAAATATTTTAGGAGCAAATTAATCATGTTCTTTTTCAGATGAAGAGGAGATATTATTTTTATTATTTTTTTTACTAATTTTTAACTAATTTTTATTGCAATTTGTGTACATTTATTCTATAGTAATGATGGTAACGAGGACAACCAAGTACGCCAACTGACTATTAATGGTATGGTAGCAACTTCAAATACTGGAAGACGTACACCACAAGCTAATTTTCAACATCAATTGGCAACAAGTGTCTCAAATATTTCAGGTTAACTATTGTAATGAATTTTAATATTTATTAATTGTTCATTGAAAATGTTCTATTTTTTCAGTGTAGCTGCATTTAATCTAATTGTGTTATTTTTCAGATATTCAAAAAAAAAAAAACTAATAATACTTTTTAATTTTTTTTACAGGACTTTTAAAATACTTGTTATTATCCTAAAAGTGTATTTTTTGAATGGTTATAATTAATAAATAAATGTTGTTTTCAGGTGATCAACGTTCTAAAGAATGCTCTAACATGAGTAACAAAGGTAAATATATTCTAATAAGTTTGCATTGATTTGATAATAATAATAATTTTAAATTGTTTATCAGATGACATTAATAAACAAGTTGATCGAAATAAGCAACAGCGATATCAATTTTATCCAGGTAATAAAAATTATATTGTTGAACGTATGTTTATGAATCGTTTATTTTTTATATTCTTACTATCATTAAAAACATTAAAAATTGTATATCCTAAAAATTTAAATGTTCAAATATAAACGAGTAATTCATATTAAATTGTTACACCTTGATCCGCTTAACATGTATACATATTTGTGGTATCTCAGGTCGTGGATATGAACCAGACCAACGATCAGGTACTCCAGTATCAGAATCAAATCGAACCCAGTCAGTTACATTTACAGTGTTGCCTGATCCCATGAGAAATCAGACATTTACTCCAGCTCAAGCAGCAGATTTACAACACCAACAGCAGCAGCAACACCAGCAGCAGCAGCAACACCAGCAGCAGCAGCAGCAACAGCAGCAGCAACAGCAACAGCAACAACAGCAACAACAACAGCAACAACAGCAGCAGCAACAACAACAACAACAACAACCTCAAGCAACAATTACGTATCAAACCCAGCAACAAATACCATCATATTGGATTCAGCAGGGTAATTCCACTCAGGAAGGAACAATTACTGGTACATCTCCTCCAAAAGAAGGGACTCTGCATTATGTAGATTAATTTATACAAAACCATGTGTTTATATTATATGGTTATTTGAGATTATTTATTTATTTTTTTTTTTTATACCTTTTTTTATTATTGTAGTTAAATTACATTTTTCAAGTCTATTTTTTAAAAAATAAATGAAATATAAATTGTATAAAAACATAGTTTTATTTATTAAATAATTACGGGTAACAATCAAACTAAAGGGTTTACAAATTAAAAAAGATTGCGGCAAATAGGACAAGTGGATTTGTTGCTTGTCACAAACCATTTATACTGAAAAATGAAAAACAATTGAAGATCATATTTTAATGTTGAGAGTTCTTGTATTATTTAGACACTTACTAAACACGAGCTGTGGAATTTCTTGTGACATGTACGACATGCTGACTTGGGCATCTGATAATTGGAATTATGCAGTATAGAATAACATATGCAACACTCTTCAACACCATCAAACTTCTTTGTAATATTTAACTGCCACAAGGATATACCGTCAATGATGGAACCATTCTGATGAGAAAAGAATAGTGCCAGTTGTTTCAACCACACTTTCCACTGAGACATGTTAATCATGCTTTTGTCACTGCTGACTTTAATCAAGCCCAACGGATGGTTACTGGCCATCTGTATGGTAATGTCCACAGCCATTTCTTCGATCATATATGACACAACAAGAATACCACGGCTTTCATATAAATTCACCTAAAACAAACAGGAAAACATTATGCTCCCGTAATTGAAAACCATATCTCCAAAATACATACAACAATATTGTCAATTTTTTTTGCTTGTTTAATGTCTTGAAACTCTTGAACTATCAAACTCTGTGATACATATTTGGTTGTTAGCTTGTCAATCAAAGTAGACACTTTATGTTCGCTATTCATCCACCATTTGCGTACAACTGCTGGCAATGTATGTAACAGGTTGTAGTATGTCCAGCACACTAAATGCCATAATTTTTTGTTGTTCCAATAATCTGATGGTGTGCAGCTAGGTCGCAAGTTGAACAGCTCTTTGATAATTGGATTGACATCATTATTAGCATAGGTTTTAATAATAGAATGAGGCATTAACTTTAACAAATTTTCCATCAAACATGAAATTGAGTTATCGTCGCTAAAATTGTTCGCAAAAACATAAATCGTAAATATCATAGTATAATATAATGCAGTGGCATGCAAGATACAACTTACCTTAAATGAGAGATGTACTTGTATCGTTCTTGAGACTCTAGTTTAGAACACAATTTAAATATTACATTCCATAACAATAAATACACCCTAGTATTCTTGAAATCTACTGTAAATGGTTTGGGTTCGAATGTACTCCCAATTCTAAGATCAAAAATTATAACATCAAATCAACAAAAAACTTATTATCATTTTACAAGTACAGTACTTAATATCTGTTAACATTGTAGTTACAAAGTTTTGAAGTTGTTGCATTGGTAATGTGCTCAGTTCAAAAGGTACTTGATCGGTTTCAGTGTCAGTTTCCACCAAGACTTTGCGCAGTTCACATAATCTGATAGATTAAAAAATATAAACACATGGTTCATATTACTTATACATAATATAAAAACTCAAATAGATAACATAATTTTTTTCCTATTAACAAACCTATCCAAAATAATGTAAGCAGTAATTTCAATTGTATAACAATCTGAATTGATCAAGTTTGAACAAAGAATGAACAAATCTTCTTGGTTCATTTCCTCAAATTCTATGTATTTTATACTGTTGCTCAATGATTTTAACACTAATTCATGAATACAATTATTATACTCATTAGATAACTTTATCCAAATTTTCATCAAACAAGAGCGTAAAACTTTTGTATCTGATTTAAATGCTGTAAGGTTTTCATTGTTTTCTTGGACATGTTTATAAATCTCTTCATGATAGAATTTCATCAGATTTTCAAATAATAAGCCCAAAAAAGCAGTAATTACTCCAACAGGTAAATATTTTTTTCCATCGATATCTATTACATTGGTTAGAATTAACATTAAAGATTCTAAACGCCTAAATATTATTTTGCTGTATTTTAAAATTATCGAAGCATTATCGGTATAAAGGAAAACTAAGTTTAAGAACTCAATGTTACGTATCGATTCAATAGTTTTCTTTTCTTCTGTCAAAAACCTAAAAAAAATAAACAAAAAACAATTTTAATTACAAAAAAAAATATTTTTTAATAATACTTACTCATCATCATTGATAAGCAATTTTTCTTCAGAATCCAAGACTTTTTGAATTTGAGAAACTGTTTCACTATTATTTTTTTTTTTTAAATGCATATTCCAAACACATCGCGTATCAGCTAATGAAAGATGATCATATTCTAAGTTACTCATACCACAAAAATTCACAAAAATCTAAGAAAATAAGAAATATTATTAAAACAATATGGTTTGTTATTTTTGAATTTACAGAATTAATAATATTTTTAGATTTTATATACATGTATACAACAGTACTTTTTTTTGTGTATGTATTTTAAACAAAATGTTAAATTCAATTTTTCACAATATTTTTATAACATTTTATAAGTAATAAAAGGAAAAAGTAATATATTCAAAAATTATATCGGATATAAGTCCATGTATCAAGTTCTAACATGATCTATTGAATTTAACTAAGTGAAGACAAAGTGAATTGCTTTTATATTTTTTACATGATCTACTAACTAGTTACAGAAAATAAGACTCTACATTTTTATATTTATGATCGCCACTATTGATACAAATTCATCATCATCTCTATTCTTCACATCATGATTTAAAGTAACTAATTAAAATAAAATTAAAGTAAGTAATTATTTTAAGTATTGATTTACAACAAGTATTTAAGTTTACTAATAATATTATTATTATTATTATTATAACTATTACTATTATTTGTACATTAATATAAATCATACCCAATGGCCATAGTCACTATGGGTTTTATAATAAAAAATAAAAAAAATGTAAGTATCTTACCACAATAATATGTATGAAATCTGGAATGTCACTGTATTTTAACATTGCAGATTTATATAAGGTAATTAATTCTTCTTCTGATAATGACAACATATCCAATGCAAATTCCAATGATTTACTCCAATAGGGTCCATCATTAATTGTTCTAAATTAATAATGTAGAAATGAGTTTTAATATGTTAATTTCTTTTTTTTAGGTACACAATGATAATAAGCCACTTACTTCTCAATGATTGTATTTATGATGTCAAAAGCCACATTTTTTGGTTGTGATTGTAAGAGAACTGCTATATTTGTTTTAGTATCTTCAAAAATACCACTTTTGATTTTACAACAGTATTTTCTCTAAATTATATAATGAAAATATTTTTTTATACTAATACCAATAGATTAATTTAAAATATGTACATTGTTTATTTACATACTTGTAGATACTTACATTAGAAAAATATTTTAATAGATCAGCAACCAAATTTACATTGCATATTGTATTGGCCATAATATTGACAAATTCTTCATTTACATAGTTAGATTGATTGCATGGTTGTTCAGATTCCGTGTAAAATTTTAATATTTGTTTTATAAATACATACATGTGTGAATACAATGCATATACCGTATCAAAGCATTCACCATTTGTGTCTATATAGTTCTTATTACTTCCTGTGTAGAATAATGATCCATCTATATAAGACGCTAACTCGCAACATTTAATTGCTTTTGAGTGATCAATGCTATTTGCACATTTTAACAACTCAAATATAAGTTTAACAGATAAATTATTTTGATTGGTACATAACAAAAAATCTTTGACAAATTGATCTACTGAACTTTCTACATGTTCTATATCAACTCCCATAATTTTGACATAATCTGTTATAACCGAACTACACCTCTTTATTACTTCATAGTCGTGAGTGTCCAACATATTCTTCAACACAAGTTTCCAAGTTTCACTAAGCTCATACTGATCTCTACAATCACCATCCTGTGTATTTTCCAAAAAAGTTCGGATCAAACATTCCATTGTGTTAAATATAACATCAAGATGAGAATTAACAAATAATTTATCGTTCAAATTTTTTTCAAATATTTGTTTCAACATTGTAACTAAAGAAGAAGTGGGATTTGTATGAACAGTTTCCAAAAGAAGTTTTGTCCACATCTTGCATACTGTATTTTCTAAAAATCCAAAAACAAATTTATAACCAAAAAGTATATAAATTTAAAAGTCAAAAATTCACCTTTTTGTTTCAAACAATTTATAAGTAGATTTGATTTATTTTCATCTACTTCAGTTGATATAAATTTTTTTAACTCATTTTGCATTGGAATAGACTCCAACCAACTGCAAATTGCTAAAGGTAAAGTATTTCCTTCACTAATATACTTCATTATTTCTTTAAGTACTATATCTAATCCAATCTAAAATAAGCAAAATAAACATATTAAAATGAAAATGAACATATTTTTTCTCTTATATAGATAATAATTACCTGATTTAAATCATTTATCATAATAGATCTTTCTTCTTCATTAATAATAATTTCTAATAAACCAATAATCAGGGATATTGAATTATATGTTAATATTCTATCATTATCTATCCATGTTTTGACATAACTAACATAAAGCCTAAATGGTGGTGATAATTTTTCATCATCTGTGATAGGTAATATTTGAGCTAATTTACTATGGATACCATAGTCTTTATATATTAATAGCACTTGACACACATGATTAGCATATAGATGTCCTACTTCAAAACATGAAGTTTTATTTAAATAAAATTTTAAAACAACATTAATAAAATCGATCAAATCATTTTTATAATCATCATTAAATAACTGTTTTACTGGACACAATACTTCTTCAGTTTCTTCAAATTTGACTCTTAAATTTTTTCTTTTCTTTACTTCTGGATTTTTCAAATGATTTAAAACAATTAAGTGTACTTGTAACTGACTCAATATATTGTCAAAAATAATTTCTTCATTAAGACCATTTCCAATTAAAAGATAATTTAAATTATCCCAAATAGTGATCTTTAAACTGTGAAATGTATTATCATTTCTTAAAAATTCAAGAAATAATGCTAAATGAGATATAACAGGTGGTGTCATTGTTTTTGCTAACTTTCCAGTAAGACTAAACTTGACCAAAGTTAACACCTATTGAAAATGTAATAAGTTATACATTATATTAAATAATACACAAACATATAATACATATTGATAGAAAATGCATACTTCAGAAATGACTTCATTACCAAAAGTTTCATTTTTACTATTATTTCTCAAAATATAAGTAACAAAATTGAAAAGAGTTTCAATACCAGCAACAAAGTTAGTACGGTCAAAACGAGTAGACATTTTTTCTAATCTAAAATAAAAACCAATATATGTATAAAAAAAAAAAAAAAAAACAGAAAATGTTTGCTGTTTACCCTTGTATAATTGAAATAATACACTTCAAATAGAATTCTGTATTTGACATGGTACTCATAACTGGACAAACTTTGCATAGATCTAACATATTTTCATATGCTGATGAAATACATCCTTTAGAACATGATAAAACCTTCCATAGTTTTGGAAGGAAGATTTTTTCAGCATTTGATTGTAACCAAAAGTCAATTAACTATAAAATAAAAATTAATTTTGAGAATAAATGAAATGGAAAGAAGTATCCAATGTATTGTGAAACAAGAGATTGATGTTGGGTAATGCACAAAATAACAAAATAAAGGATGGGCGTAGTGTTAGTTGTAAGGAGCATATTAAATGGATGCGTGGAATGACAAAGTAAAATAGAATATGGAATGAGTATATTTAGTTAAGGAGTAGCATCAATTGTGGGAAAAAATGAGAGAAAAAGATGATAATATTTTAATAATAAATATATATTATAAATCACTGCTTGGAAGTAATGCATTTAAAGGAAATCATTCTTTTGATTTTGTTCCATTATTAGGAACTTATCGGGAATATAGTTCTTTTTTCTTGTTTAGGAGCGTACTGGAATTTCATTCACTTTTTAGAGGAACATGAACGACTTTTTTCGTTCCTTTCTACATTCATTTATTTTAAATAAAAGTAATTAAATAATTTTTAGAATTATGAGAAAAAAAGTTTAAAACTTCATAAGAAATTTAACAAACATAAAGAGTTAAAAATAAACTTTTTTTTTTAAATACAAAATTATTGATAATGTTTACAAAATGCCCATTCTGTCATGGCAGCCATATCGGTGAAATATCGTTGGTGGCTGGAAAATCTGTTTGACGATACGGGTATGTATTATTTACAATTGGTAATTTATTATACGAGAGTTATTCATAAAGTATGGAATGTTTTGGAATTTAAGAAAAACCAAGTACAAGGAAAATATTTTATTATGTATATGTGAAAGAGGGACTAAAATACTACTTTTCTACATAGTCACCATACAAATTCAGGCACTTATCATAGCGGTATACAAGCTTTGAAATTCCTGTATCATAAAATTCTGCCGTCTGTGATCTCAGATATGAACTAGTTTCTTTTTTAAAGGAATTTTCCAAGCACTGATATAAATATAATATAATAAAAGTACATAATGTGAAAAAACATGAGATAGATGTATCATGAAAATTATTATAGAAGGAAAGATTTACAAAAAAAATGTAAGAAAAAGACTAGTCAATGAAAAGGTTAAGAATGAAGAGGTAATTTTTTTATAGGTAAAAGTAAATACATAGGTTAAATATTGAAGGAGGCTAAAAATATCAAGACTAAATTGATCTTGGGAAATAGAGCTTAGGTTAGCTTGAGAACCTATTCTCTAATTATGCATATGAGTAAATATATTAGACATAATACCTAGTTAATTTAAAATAATTAAATTTGTAATTAATACCTCGGGTTTAGATAAAACAATTAAAATGTTTTTCCAAATTATACATGATACAGTAATATTTTCTTCGTCAACATTATCAAACACAGCAAAGGCCACTTTTTTACATTCATCTTGTAAAAATCTTTGTAATTTAGAAAGTATAGAATATAATAAAGTATACCAGGCTTGTCGAACCTGAAAATTAACAATAAAAACATTTTTAAAATAAAAATCAATAATTGGAAAACATTTTAAAACATACACTTGGTGTTGAATATTTATTTAATTTCCAATAAGTAGAATTAGTTAACAACATTGATTTCAATTCTGTTTCAATATTTTCAATATTTTCAGCAGGAAGTGAATTTAAGAATGTTGCTGTTGCATACAAACAACTAGTAGCAGTTCTTATTTGCATTTCTTTTATTTCATCTGAGTCAACTCTACCAATGAATTAAAAAACTATTTTTAGATATTTCTAAAATATTTTTATTTCTACAATGACAACTTACTTAGTATTTAATAAAGCTGGATTAGTAATGTTTTCAATTAAATAATTGAAAATTTCTTTTTGACAAAATACAATAACTTCAGTTCTTTTATTTGGAGGAAAAGTGTTCTGAAATAAAATTGTATATTTTAAAGTCAACATTAAAAATAATAATATAATTATTTACAAACCTCAAACATAGATGTTGCAACAGATGCAGTAGGTGGATGTGTGTCAAATTGTGCCACAAACCAATGAGCGAAAAACCTTTTGAGATATGGAGCTACATTTCTTTGAACACAGTTTAAGTATGATCGCATAGCTTTTTGAGTACATTCACGTATACGAGGTTCATTATCTTTACACAAGTTTACATAATGAGTAATCCATAGAACTGATACTTCTTTAACAGTTTCTTCATCTTTAGAATCACATAATGTTACAAATTCTTTTAAGGCCTACAGATTAATAATAAAATTTATAACTCAAAGATTTGACCAAAGTTAAAATATCAGTAGTTCTTTCATAACATACTTTAAGTTTAGTAGTAGAATCTTTTTTATTCAATCTTTTCAAAACTACTTGAAAATCTGGACTAACATTACAATCTAAAACATCTGCAAATGGAAATTTGAGTTTATCTGGTATTGCTGAATATGTATCAGTTGTACTCAATAACAACTGGGTTCTTGCACTGTTTGACGGCTAAAATATTTGTAGTCATTAATTTCACTGTTTTACTACAAAAAAATTAAAAAACTTACTTTTAAGTTGTTTTTTACTCTTTGAGCAACTTGCTTTTTCCCCATTATGTACAAAGATAATTGTATTTCTGTTCAATAAAGCTAAAACACAAAATCGTGTTCCACAAATATTTTTAAAATTAGATAGGAGACAAAATTTGAATACTGGTCAGGCTCAACCAAAGATATTAATTTCTTATTCATAGGAGGTTTGACTTAAAATCTTTTAAACCATTTAAGTATATGTAACTTAACGAAAATTACAAAACAAAATAAATATTCACAATTCACAGATTATATAAACAACTTATTAAATTACACATTGATTATATTGATAATATATATTCCAAGTATGGTATACATATTTAGATCATATATTATCTATGTAAATATGATTTTTATATTTAAAATTATTTTAATTTATAAGTATAGACCTCGATATTACACACTCAAAGAGTAACAAAACACATTCTACAATAAATATTACACATTGCGACAATAACAAAAACTTATCAAAATTATTTTGTGAAGTAATTATCAGATACCATTATCAGATATTATTTACGCGCCAAATAATATTTAAATAGTGTTTTAGATATATAATCCGTCATAAAGTATAATATTTTAAGCTACCAGTTTACTTATTTGCTTAGAAAAGAGGATAAACTAAAATAAATGTTTTAACAAGGGAACTAGCTAAGTCCTTCAGAGTGTGTTCATTAATACACATACATATAAATTTACATATGTATATCATATCTATGAATACATCTTCAATCTATATGTGACCATTAATAAATCAATTAAATTGCTTTAATCTAAGAGAAATCATAAATCTATTCTTATAAAATATAACAGACAATTTAAAAGTAAAATATTAATTTATAATTCATAAAAAGTTTCAAATTTACACTAGAAGGACTTTTTCTCAGTTTTCAGTGTATAATTACAAAATAAAGCTGTTATTAATTTGACCTCTTCTTACAGATAGTTAATATTTTTAATTTATACTATATTAATGAATAACAATAAGATATAGATACAGTTTAATAAAACAATTATTTTTATACTTGTTATGTCATTTTTAAATACTGTGTTTAAAATTTAATATAGATAAACAAGTAGCTTTTATTGCTGTAATTTTAATGAAAAAGGCAAAATTAAAATAAAAAAGTAGCTTTTCATAAATACAAAGAAAATAGGAATGATTTTACTAATTCAGTCATTATTTAAAATGGCTAGATTCTATACATATTACCTATATATTCCAAATACATTTCCTTTAAATACAAATATATATACAAGATTTTACCATTAAAAACAAACCATAGGTAGTAAGTACAATCATAGATATATATAGATACTATATCATAATATATAGGTATTTAATCTGCCACTATTTAAAATTATATAATGCAATTTATATACAAGAAAACTCATATGTTAATTTACTTCAATATTCAACTCGCAACTTCTTGTGTGTATATTTTAATACTAAATAAAATAATTAAAAAAAAATTAATTCACTATAACACATTCTTCAACTAATAATAATCAAACTCAACTTAAATTATATATTAAATATTGCGTTCTTCGGGTTTTTTATAAGGATAGTCTAAATATTCAAAAATATCTTCTTCACTAGTTATCTCTACAGGTTCACCTGGTATACCTTTTACATTGATAAAACACAAATATCAATATGAATTAATGATCATAGCTTATTTTTAATTATTTCATAAATAGATTTACCTGTTGAACCAATGGGTCGTAAAGTATATTCATTAAGAGTAAAACCTTGATTTAAAGCGTGATCCCTCATTTGTTTATTGAACAAATCACTCCCGGTAAAATAAAGAACAGCACAATAAAATTGATCATATGGATTCAAACGAATGTCCAATCGTCTTGAAATATTATTCAATTTACATACACCCTAATTTAAATAAATTATTCATTCATATATTTTTAATTATATCTTTGATATTTATTTTATTTTAAAATAATCAAGATATAATTCAATGAGATTTTTAATATTAATAATTATTTTACTTGTATGTCTTAGTAAATATCAAAGATGAGATTATACTTAGTGTTATTATTATGAAGCATAAAAAAGTTATTTTATACTTGTGGTTTTTTAAATTATACATTAAAATATTTACCAAGTATTTAAATAAGTAACTACTTAATATATTACGCAAATATTTCATTAAAATTGTCAATAAAAGAGTAAATTAATTGTATGATTTCTATAGTCTATGGTAATAAATAATTTCAGGATTGTAATTAAAATGTGAAACCAATTACCATGAACTTAGTATCTCCCAATGACATAGTTTCAGTAATAAGATTATTTGTTTTTAAAATGTCCACAACCACTTGCAACATATTATTCTTTTTTTTCAAGTCTTTGGACATAAATGTTGGGTGAGAAATCAAAGTGTCAATATCTCCACTAAATGCTTTACCGCGTCTACAATTAAAACAAAATAAAACCAATAATAAAATATATATAATGGACATTTTTTTATTTTAAAGTTCAATTTTTAATAATATATAAAAAAATACAATTATTTTAATTTTAATAAGTGTAAAGCTAACCTGTAGCTACCACAAATAGTAATCTTATACTTAGAATCTAGATTGCTTAATATTTTCTTGATGATTTTTTCTACTTCAATAATTTCATTTCTTGGTATTTTTTGCTCAAAGTCACTTAAATATCTGAATTAATAAGCCAAATATCATAATAGTATTAAAAATCTATAGTTAATAATGTACTTTAGTCCTAATCGTTGGTGATGGTTTAATTTGTCTTGATTCTTTACTAATATGTCAATATTTGTGATACCTAAATCATACAATTCTTTTGCTTTAGCAGGTCCAATGCCACTAACTCTTGTTAGATCTTTTATAGCAACTGCACCTTCATCACTTCTAATCTGTAATATCAAAAAATTAAATAATAAATTCATTATTTTAATATTTAAATAGAAATGGTACATTATCTAGTTTTTTTAATTTTCCCGTGTTTAAGAACTCATCAATCTTTTTTGAGATTTTATCACCAATTCCATCCAATTTTCGTGCTTCTTCACCAGATTTTATTCGAGTCGTATATTTAGCTAAGGCACTAGCTGCTTTTCGATAAGCATTATACTTATGGATATTACGAGAAACATTTTTCTCATAATCCGCCAATTCTGATACAATTATAACATGTAAATTGACTGAATTGTGAAACTCAGAACCAATTATGAGTATACTAACCAATTAAGAACTCACAAAAATCATGATTTGGATTTGTTGAATCACTAGGTGCTTTTCTCTTACTCATTTTATTCTAAATTTATATTTAAAGAATACTTCAAAGATAATTTCTAAGAATCATAACAAATATGAAGTTCAAATATATTTATTACATATGGACTTACACTCACACTTGATTGATTATGCTAATTTTATTAATAAATTGTTTTATATTTATGAATTCATAATTCATGGGTGTGATAGTGATGGGTATAATCAAGATATCTCGATTATGAAAACAATCGAGATACATCGATTATGATACAAATAACCAAATAATCGATTAATTTTGATTATGAGTAAAATAATCGAATTATTTTGATATGAGTAAAATAATCAAATTAAACGGTTTATTTGATCTCGAAATAGTTTAAATGTTTTGAATTATCGACTGTTAGCAGGGCCGGCGCAACGGTAGTGCAACCGATGCACCTGCACACAATGGCGGCGCCAGGGACGGGCCAGGTAGGGCCATGGCCCTACCAGTGGCCCTACCACTGACCTCACCTTAGACATAATAATATAGTCATTTTTCATAAGCAGAAAATATTAAATAATGATATTAATCTTTTGTTGAAATCTCATTTTTGGTGGCCCTACCTTATAATTGTTGGCCTCCCGTTGGCCCTACCTAGCAAAAAATTCTGGCATCGCCACTGCCTGCACAGGGCCCCGCACAAATTTGGGGCCTCGCGGAAAACAAATCATTACTGAATAAATATTATAATTTAGAAAATATTACATTATTAATAAAAATATAATATTTTAAACTACAGGTCCTAGCAAAAAGTCAAGAAAAAAATCGTTCTAAAATATATAATCAATAATAAATAATATAATATATTATTTTACTGTATACATTTATTTTATATATATAACTAAAAAATAAAGAGTATATATTAATTATTAATTGTTGTGTATTATTTTATTTCAACTATTTTGTACGGGGCCCCGCAATTTGTAGCGCCGGTCTTGACTGTCAGGTAAATGATATTGTTAATTTAGCAATCGAATTGGTTTATTTTAAGTATGAAAAATTGTACACACAGACAACACATCATAGTTTCCAATATAATTTATATTTGCTTTAGCCATTGATTAAATATAAATATTAAATTAAAGTATATTTAATCAATACTTTAGCATAAACTGGCTAGTTATGAAATATGAACTATAAATATTGTTTAAATGTTAACTAATAAATAATGCAATATGAATAAATGGTTATTATTATTCCTAAATTATAGTTTAATTAATACTTAATAAAATATTACACTAACAAAAGAAAAAAGCAAAGTTACATTATTTATTTACTATAGTAGATATGTGACTTAAGTATGTTCATTTTTCGAGTAATTTTTTCGATTAGTTATCTCAATTATGAAAAATTTTAATTTCGAAAGATTTTTTTGAGAGATTCACTCAATTAGTTATTGTAGGAATTATAGTGTTTGATAGTCATGTAATGGTTGCAATTTGACTGAAAAGTAAAATGAAAAATATTTTATCAGTATTGATAATATATACTATCAAAATTCCAGACTTAATAAGAGAAAAATTGACATCATTATGGAATACCGCCAAACAGAATCAAAGAGGAATAATTAATTACTACTTATATATAAATATATATATTATAGGAGCAGGACCGAGCTAACCAGGTGTACAAAGTGTTCAAAAAATAAAGGTGACCAACAATTTAGTACAACCTTATAAATCAAATTTAAAAAAATATATATATTAATAATGACATGTAAACTACAATAATGTATTGTTTCAATTGTAAACTATCAATAATGACTTGTATTATAGGTAATAATTTAAATATGTTTTAAACAATAACTAAAAATCATTTTAATAACATTTTTTAAGTTTAACTAAACTCTGGACAGTTGTTAGGTATAAAATTTGAGGGGGGGGGGGGGGGCAGTAAATTTGTTTGTATAACATAGACAGCCAAATAAGTCAGAATAGGCCTATATAAATGAGTATATTAAAATTACACGAACAGAAAAAATAATGAAACAACAAGGAATTTTTGATAAATTAAAAAAAAAAATTGCACTTACTCGTAAATTTTTAAATCGATGTTTCATTAAATGTTGAAATTTGGATTTTACAAAGTAATTCATTTTTGAGTATTAATGTTTCACAATATTACTATCAATGGCGCATTTGAGGGGGAGGGACGAAGGGGCATTCGACCCCCATGGTTCGTATTTTTTTTGAATATAATACAATGATTTATTTAAAAAATGTAATGTATAAATAATTAAGAATATAAATTACTAGTCGATCATTTTTATATGTTTATATGGTAATGAACTGTAAATTATTTTTAAGTTTGTATTGAAGAAAAATTAGTTTTACCCCCACCCCCATGGCCTCAACTCAAATACGTCCTTGACTACTATGCATTAAAATGCTTAAGTACTAGTTCTGCTCTGCGATATTGTACTGTGCAAAAACACAGATACTTTATTAATTTAACACGATATTTAGCTTAATTTTAGCATATATAAAAATGAAGGAAAAAAAAGGAGGACAATTTATATTTAAAGTAAGTAAGATTAGTCACAGTGTTTTGTTTGTTAATACACGCGAAAATCAATGTAACTACTGTATAATTCAGAACCGATAAGTTACCACCTCCGTATTTGTAATGTTATTATGATTGAATTTGTACCTATGTATTTTACAGGGAGCTTGTCTATAAATATAAGCAAAATGTGTCGTTTATCTATTTTTTTTACAAAATAACATAAACTCACCAATGAAATTTCTTGAGATTAGGAACTACTTAAAAATTGTTCAAAAATAAATATTATACCTACATAAGTTTTCACTTTTCTTATTGTATTGTACTCTTAGAATAATTTGAGAAAAAAAAGGATTCGAATTATTTTTAATAACAAAATTAAAATTATATTTAAGTTATATTAGTTATAAATGTATAATAAAGCGACTTACTAAACTTATTAGCATGGGCATCCCCAGGGGGGGGGCAAGACGGGGCACTTGCCCCCCCCCTGGAATATGTTATTTCCATTTCATTCAAATAAAGAAAAATTTATTGAAAATGCACTGACACAATTTGGTAGAGAATGTCCACAGAGATTGAAATTTATATTTAATGAAAAAGAATGATGTATAATGATATTTTTTAATGTTTTAATTGTAATAATAATACCTACCTAATTGTAATGTTTTAATTCATAATTTTAATAATGACGAAATATAATAATTTACTGTAAATAAAATGTATAAAAAAATTTTCATTTATTTTTTAAATTAATTTTGCCCTCCCCCCCCCTAGAAAAATGTTTGGGGACGCCCATGCTTATTAGTATTATTACCTTCTATTTGATTCTTAACTTTTTTCTACCATATTATTCTACCTATTACTGCGAACTAAGAAGTTTTATTTAAACAAAAATAACTTATAGTTATACATAAATACACATTTTCATGTGATCACACCAAATTAACTAATTATTAAAAAATACAATAACACATTCTGTTTGCTTATTTTTCATTTAAACTATGTTGAATTGTTGATCTTAATTTATAAAAGTTATTTATATAATTTAAAAAATATTTTCTAAACAGTAAACACTACACAGACTTAAAATACCTCTAATCTCAATACTACTTGTTGACACTTATTATTTTTAAACAACGATTCGCCTCTGTTAAAACTTAATAATTAACGTAAAAGAAATGGATATTATTCATAGATTCATTATTCGTTTAAAAATAATCATAGATTTCATATTTTTAGTTGGACAGATACCAAATAAAAGCTTGAAATATAAAACTAATTAGCAGGACTCGGGATTTATAAGCATTTGCTTATTTTTATGGATTTACTTAAAATGTAGCAGAGTACTATAGAATTGTATGTCAAGTTATAACACGTATAATTATGAAATTTGAAAGTACTTTTTTTTTTTGCTTTTTTGAGCAATTTTTTAAAAAAAATGCTTATTTCCAGTTTTTCTGATTATTTTTGCTTATTTATCCAGTTTTTTTACGTTTTTATAATTTTCTCCTGCGAAGTCGTTTTTGATAGAATTAAAATTAAAAATAATTCTTATCTTATCTACGTTGTCACTTAGTTCGTCACAACAAAGATGTTCCAACGCTGAAAATAGAACTGAGTGTCAAACGTCAGAATGATCAAAAACAGAGAGAACAGTTTACATTTTATTTTTCAGAAAAATCCCTTAGAAAATCTATAAAATCCTTAAAGCCTTGAAAGTGAAAATTTATTTTTATTTTGTTTGATTTTATTAGTTAGAAATTTATGGTTTTTTTTTTTTTTTTTTTAATAAATATTTTTGCTTAATTTTAAATTTTTTAAATGCTTATTTTAGTGCTTATAATGATGTTTTTAAGCCCTTTTTTAAGCGCTTATTTTAATGATTTTAAGTGCTATAAGTCCCGAGCCCTGCTTATTAATAATAACTTACTAATTATAATTTATAACACTTTATGAACTAACAAAATTTTATTTTAAGTAGATATATGTCAATTTATTTTTTGCTTCGCGAAATAGTATGATTATGAGTTCATCGAATAAAACATCAATTTTTTTAAATTGTTTTCATTGTTCTTGATAATTGTGATAACTAATGTTATGACTTTAATAGAGTATACATATTCGTGGTTATGAATAACTATGATGATGACGTATAGTATGGCATTTGAAATTAATTTTTTTTGTTCGTATGATGTAGGTATATAACTGAGGGATACATCGTACATTATGCATACATATTAATAATAAGAATACTCAACCGTTAGTTTTATAATTATTTTAACGCACATTATTGATTTATAATCGATTGAACTTAACAGCTATTGTCTACGTTTAAATACAAAGCTGATTTCGCATGTGATACATCAGGTATCAGATACAAAAAAGATTTTTACTTTTTCCAATTTTACCTTTTACTTGTATGGCTATTACACACTATAATAGTGTTATACCCATGACCCATACGATCGTATTCACATTTGCAATTAAAGTTTTGGGAGATAGATCTTTTTGACTATTTTTTAATATTATCTAACCTAAATACATAACATTTTAAATCTTAAACGAAGCAAGGAATAAATATTTATCATACAACGATACAAACCAATGGGTTTTTTAGTTTCTAGCTATTTTATTTTAACTTAAAATATTTAA